GAATTTTCGCATATCTACGTTGTAGAGATCAACTTCTACGCTTAAAAACACCTCTGCTAGAGTAAATCACAACAAAACAATTCTAATATATATTTTCAATGACAGAGACAATAAAAACATTATCCACTGTTTCATAGGTGTGTTGATGAGAACGAAAAGTCACGGCATGCGTTTAATCAAAGATTTAACGCTAAAATTGCTGTAAATCGTTACTGTCGTCTTTTAAAGCGAATATATCCGGTAAAAACAAAGCTATTGAGATGAATCGAAAAACAAACTATCGAAAAAAGATGCACCTTGATGATACAGTGGGTTTCAAATTCCTAACTTTGTTAAACCAATACACAGGGTGATTCAAACTTTCATCAAAATAACATTTTATTTCTCCTGGCATAACAGACAGAGGAGGCTAAAAAGCTAAATAATTTAGCTACAAAATTGTTTCAAAAATCCCAAAAATCCAATTAAAAGTACATGATATTAATTCATGCAATATAAGACATTTTATATACAAAGTCGATATTTTTTACATGATTGACAAAAATATTAAGTCGTTTCTAAGCTGCTTTCTAAACTTATTTACTATTTTCCACTTACGTTTTCTCATGTCTTCTTCGATTGGTCTCGGCGTGTAGGAAATATCCGTCAATCACCATGCACGCGCGCAAGAAAAGTAATTTCCCTTCTTAAAAACGTTTTTCACTACGAATTTTCGCATATCTACGTTGTAGATATCAACTTCAAAACTTAAAAACATCTCTGCGATATAGTAACTCACAACAAAAAAAAACTCTAATATACATTTCTAATGACAGCGACTTTATAAAAACATTAACCATTGCTTCATAGGTGTGTTGATGAGAGCGAAAGCCACGGCATGCCGTTTAATCAAAGGATTAACACTAAAATTGCTGTAAATCGTTACTGTCGTTTTTAAAAGCGAATATCTCCAGTAAAAATAAAGCTACTGAGATGAATCAAAAAACAAACTATCGAAAAAAGATGCGCCTTGATGATACAGTGGGTAAATAAATTCCTTACTTTGTTAAACCAATACACAGGGTGATTCAAACTTTCACCAAAATAACATTTTATTTTTCATGGCATAACAGACAGAGGAGGCTAAAAAAGCTAAATAAAATTTAGCTACAAATTGTTTAAAAAATAGAACAAATATATCATGTAGTACTTGAAAGTACATGCTATTAATTCATGCAATATAAGACATTTTATATACAAAGTCGATATTTTTGCACGATTGACAAAAATATTAAGTCATTTCTAAGCTCTTTTATAAACTTATATTTACTATTTCCCACTTACGTTTTCTCATTTCTTCCTCGATTGGTCTCAGCATCTAGGAAACATCCGTCAATCACCATGCACGCGCGCAAAAAGAGTAATTTCCCTTCTTAAAAGCGTTTTTCACTACGAATTTTCGCATATCTACGTTGTAGAGATCAACTTCTACACTTAAAAACATCTCTGCGATAGTAACTCACAATAAAAAAATTCTAATATACATTTTCAATGACAGCGACTTTATAAAAACATTAACCATTGTTTCATAGGTGTGTTGATGAGAACGAAAGCCACGGCATGGCGGTTAATCATCAAAGGCTTAACGCTAAAATTGCTTTAAATCGTTACTGTCGTCTTTTAAAGCGAATATCTCCAGTACAAATAAAGCTATTGAGATGAATCAAAAAACAAAGTATCGAAAAAAGATGCGTCTTGATGATAAGGTGGGTTTCAAATTCCTTACTTTGTTAAACCAATACACAGGGTGATTCAAACTTTCACCAAAATAACATTTTATTTCTCCTGGCATAACAGACAGAGGAGGAGAGGAGGCTAAAAAGTCAAATAATTTAGCTACAAATTTCTTAAAAAATCTCAAAAATCAGCCCAGTAGAGCAAATATATCATGTACTTGAAAGTACATGATATTAATTCATGCAATATAAGACATTTTATATACAAATTCGATATTTTTGCATGACTGACAAAAATATGAAGTCGTTTCTAAGCTGCTTTCTAAATTTATTTACTATTTTCCACTTACGTTTTCTCATGTCTTCTTCGATTGGTCTCAGCATGTAGGAAATATCCGTCAATCACCATGCACGCGCGCAAGAAAAATAATTTCCCTTCTTAAAAACGTTTTTCACTTGAAATTTCCGCGTTCTCTACGTCAAACAGGCCGATAAGAGAGATCTTTACGCCAAAACGTATTCCAAGTTAGTTTTAATACACGTCACAAGAACTGACTAAAACGGGCAGTTGACATCGACAATAGAGTTTTTGCAATGCAATTCAAACGTTTTTTCTTTTCTTTAAAGAACATTTATTATAGAATAAATTAATTCAGTTTTTTGTTTCGTAAAGTTAACGTAAGCCAAAAAAACGCTGTCACGGTAGCCTTTGAAATAACTTCTTTACCGGGTATTTTAAATTAAATGAGCCAAATGAGGCTCTGATACATGCTATTCGTAGGACCAGAACTTTTTTGCCACAAAAGCAGTCACAAGAATGGCTACAAAATAGTGGATAGGCCAACAAATCTCTAGAATAATTGAAATAGTTTATAGTAGAACATGCACACAATTCCAGGCGTTATAAAAAAAAGAAAGAAAGACACTCAAAGCTGCAGTGGGTCTACTAACAACGCATGGTAAGGCAGGATTGCCTCACAGAAGTGAATAATTAATTGTCATTTCAAAAGCAACTTTGAAGCATTTTTTCTCGGTTAGTGTTTTTGGGATACCTTGTATATCTCTTTGTATCATATTATTACATTAATTTTAATAATACAGAACAAAATAGGTATAAAAACTTCTCCTAAACCATGATACAAAATTGAGAATCCATGCTATTGGTTACCATACACTACAAACGCTAATCAAAGGAAAGTTTGCAATGCAAAAACTCCAGTAAATAAAAATGGCCGCCACGTAAAAGTAATAAATAACCTCAAACAAAAATGCACGTATGATTAAAAACAATGAAGCTGAACGTAACTTTACACACGTACGCACCTAACAGCAACACCTTTTCCAATTCATCAGCTTTATATTCTTGAAGCGTCTTGTCCTTGCCTATACAGGGTGACCCATTATTCTCGTTTCAATCCTTTGAAAATTTCCAAAAATCTCGATTTTGTAATTAACCACGAAGATATACAATATTAGATGTGGTATATAGCTTAAAAACTTCTTTTTTTAGAGTTATATCAATATATAAAGGAATTATTAAATATTACAAGGAATACATATTTTTGTGCTACCCGGTATAATAAAATTATTGTTTAAATATCAGCGATAAATGTATGATATCTATTCGTTCAACCACTGGCGTAAACAACAAGAAAACTAGTTAAAAACCACAAGATCTAGTCTGAAGACCACTATAATTGATATTTTATTTATTTATTCCATGATATTTTAAAAGTTAGTTTTATTTTACCAGGATTAAAAATAATTCATGCCAACAGTCGTACAACATATTTAAAAAATACCATAAGATCGAAAAAAACGGCGTCAAAGAAGGCTGAGGCATGACAATCGATGATAATTTTGGCGAGGGCAAGCCCTAGACGTCATTACTTAGCCCTTACTCATCTTTTTTTTATTTTTTAATGGCGCTTGCTGTCAGTTGGCCTTAAGAAAGTTGTAATTTTGTTTTTTTATATTCAAGAAAAAACATTTTCTGGAAACGTTCTATCCTTTTTTTGACACCTTTTTTATCCGTCTTTGACACCGTTTTTTTTTCGATCATACGGTATAAAATTTTACAATATAGGGTAATTCAGTCATCTTCGCACTAAAATTATAGTACTATACTATGGAAGAAAAAAAAACGGCGTGAAAGAAGGCTTATAAATGTAGATCGCTGTCATTTTATATGTAAAATTATATGGGAAATGTCATTGATATTGTCATTTCAGTTTTTACTATATACAGTGTGTTCACAGGTTGTCACAAAAACACCAAAATTCTTTGAGTTTATTTTTTAACTGTCAACTGTGTAATAAAACAAACATTCTTAAACACTATAAACACTATCTCTAAGATATATACTAAAAATGTCCAGTTAAGCCTATATAAAAATAAATATTCCTTCATCAAAAATAACTAATCATATAAACAAAACTATCTTCCACATAAGATTTTTTTTTGTATTTCAACCCTACAAAATTACCCTCAGAACGCCACTGGAAAACATAATACATGCGTCGGTTTTCATACATCATACCTTAATCTTTAGTTTTATCAGAATTAATACCATATGATGATCATAAAAAAATAACGAAGTTGGTCCTAAAATCGTTTTTTGTCCTACCATACGATCGAGAAAAAAAACGCCTCAGAGTGAGCTTTGAAATGAAGATTACTGTATTTTTATGTAAAACTTTGACGCCGTTTTTTCTCGATCATTTGTTATACTGGGTCTGATCAGAAATTAAGACCTACTTCACTGTATTTTTTTATCATTATATGGTTTCATTATCACATTCTTCAAGTATCTATAAACTAACATTGTATTTGCTTCCTGATAATAACAGTGTGAAGAAACAACATCCGGTCGATAGAGATGGGCGCTATATATCGATATATTTAAAATATCGATATGTCCTCGAATCGATATTTTGAAATAATATTTATATGTTTGAAGTAAACAGTTTTAGCTACCCTTTTTTCTGTTTTATTTATTACTATCATTAAATCCAGACATTAACAAAACCTTACATAATGTATTTAACTCACAATCCAAAAATTTCAATATTATCGAGAAAAAAAAACGGCGTCACAGTGGTCCTTGAAATGACATTCGACAATAAGACCACTCTGACACCGTTTTTTTCAATCCTACGGTAACAAATGCTTCGATATTTGCCAAAATTTATCGATAATTGCCATCTCTACCGACCTCTAAGAAAATATTTTGTGTGATACTAATCAGTAAGATAACAGTATAATTATTATTTACTTTAATTTTTCGAAAATATAGCAATAAAAACAAAGCGGCTTTTTGACATAAACAACTAAAAAAAATGACAGCAAAATCAATAATTTTACAAACTATTGTTGAGATCGCGCTGTTCCTCTGGATAAGGAGGTCTGGCAGACATGCTGAAATAAATAACAGATTACTTACATTGTCATTAAATAAAATAATTTTATTCAGTTATTGGTTCAATGCTATTTTTTTGCTAAAACAAACTTAAATAACTATTAAATGAATTAACCTTACTTTAAGTCATTCCAACGCCACTGATCTGTCATGGATCCCACCACGGGTAGAGTAGGCAACTGACTAAACACTTGGGACTGGCTAAACACTGGTGGCGGCGCTGTATACGAGGGAAAATGGTAGTTGGCAGGCCTGCCAAATCCTGGAGGTGGTATGGATGGGTTAAACGATGGAAAGAATTGGGCTGCATTGGAATCCCTTCTACAGGGTCTACAAAAAAACATTTTATTCTAAAGTACGTCTACTGGATTTGTGTTTATGGAAGGTATTTCAAGAATGCAGACAGAATATTGGAGCATGATCAATTTACTACAAAACACATTTAAATAAACAGTCGAAAAAAATCTCTAAACGCGTCGTCTAACATCGTCTAATTTTCTAAGAAGAAACATCGATTTAAAAGGTAGTAGGCCGAGCTTGGAGAACAGTGCAGTCGTTATAAGTAACATAGTTACATGATTTTATTAATTTTGTATTGTTTTTCTTATTAATTTTTTATTTTTTTTAAAGATTATGTCTCATTTATGTGGAAAAACCTTGAAAAAAAAACTTATTTGGTATTTTTGAAGTTTTTGTTTAAGTAATGTTATATTAAATATTTATAGAACGCCCATAAATTGCTCCCTAACAGAGAATTTTGTTACCCAGACTAATGTTAACCAATTATGGGAACTTTATAATTTTCAGCAACATAGAATTTTTGAAATAATGAAAAGACAAAGTGATAATGTAGATAAAAAAATATGTGTATATGTATTCACATCCCCCTTTAGAATTTTGACTTATATGTCATAAAATGAAAGTTAAAAAAGCGCCCCCTTGAGTTTGTTCGCACTAAATTCATGAAATATAGATTCCTATATTTAATTTATTTTTTTTTGAATATTATAGTAACATTTTTTTAACTGTAACGAAATAGGTATATTAAAATTACATTATATATTAAAAATTACAATTAAAAATTGTAATTTATATATAACATATAATAATTTAATTTTAATATACCTATTTTGTCACAATAAAAAGAAATGTTTATATCAATACCGATCGAACGTTTATAAAAATAAAAAATAAAAAATTATTATTATGTTATTATAAATTATGTGTTTTACATACCTATAAACTGAAAAAAAATGTACAAAACAATTAGAATATTTCCGGGGATTTGGAAAACGAAAAAAACTGCCATTCTTTTGTCGCAAAAATAAAATAATTAAAATAAAATGGACTTGGTAAAATAAGTACAAATACACCAGTAATTAATGAGGAAATTCCCAAAATCACACACCGAATACTCACAAAACACGACGAAATAAAAATATTGACATATTTAAACAACAAATGAATGTTTGTTAACTTTATGTCGATATGTATGAAACAAAATTGTCTTCAATTTAATAACAACGTTTTTGAACAGCGGGAAGGTGCAGCAATGGGTAATCCATTGTCTCCATTTTTGGCTAATTTATTCATGAGCAGGTTTGAAGTGGAGGCTAAGAATCAGTTTGAGTATTTTCCACGAGTATGGTTTAGGTATGTGGATAATATTTTTGCTGTTTTTGACACACATTCAGACACCATAGATAATTTTATTTCTAAGTTAAATAATCGTTTTCCTTCCATTAAATTTACACATGAAATTGAGAACAATGACAGATTACTATTTCTAGATATTGTCAAGGTGTATTACTGGTTGCATAACTGCATTATTGCTACATAACCGCAACGTGCATTGAGGAACCTGGCGAATTCGCCAGAAAGTAAAAGAAAATTATATAATTCTTTAGAAAATCCCAGAAACCATCGCCAGGGGGTATATAAGGCTCGCGCTTTGACAGTTGGACGAGTCTGAAGATAGTCTGAAGTCTGAAGTTTGATAATACCGCGAAATACCGTTAGAGTAATAGTAGTTGCATAAATTGTGTTGTAAATAGTATAAGTTGTGTGTACAGAGTGAGACAAATAAATTGTTAAGTATTTTATCGTGAGTTTAAATAGTGGACCCACGGAATCCGTAACAATATATTAGTTATTAGAAATACTAATAATTGCCTGGAATTTTATATCTATAGGAAAAATACCACTACACGCAGATATATTCCTAATGAATCACATCATAGTGTTGAACATAAAATGGCTTGTTTAAATTTCTTAGTTCATAGATTACTTAATTTTCCACTTACCAACGAAAGATAATATGAAATAGAAAGAGGTTACATTAGGAATGTAGCTGAGTGTAGTGGATATTCTCCTTCACTAGTTGATAAAATAATTAGAAAACATAGGTATTGTTTGTTACTTAATAGAGAATTTGAATTTAGCGCCTAAAGCGCGCCATATTGGTGACGTAGAGAATGACATAGCAGCCATGTTCAAAAAAAGAAATGTACACATATTCTTGTAAAACACAAAAAAAAATAAAGTTTCATAGAAGTTACAACTTCTTTCAATCCACAACATACACACAAAAATCAACAGTCCACTGCACAATCATATTCAAACAAATCATTGGTCCTTCGAGCCGGATAGCATCAAGCGGTTGAGAAATCAGCAAGAATACACGAAAAAGGAGTTGAACCTAACATTTACAACAAACAAAAGAAGCCAAATCATAACAGAATTCATTCAGCAAGACACAGCAATTCATCAAGTAGGTCCATTCCTTTATATCCTAGCTCATACAATCATTTAAACCAAAGCTAATATTTGATTTTACAATAAAAGTCAATTTAATCTCATATATATCATAAAAAACACATTATAGTCGTTAAACTAGCATAGTATCAGGTAGGATAGTTGTATAATTAACATAATTTCAAGCATTTACAGTAGTTTTGACATACAAAGTGTGAATTATTTAAGCAAAATCATAGCATTCAATTTAGCCGGTTATTTCTGGATATTATTCGTTTACATGTCGGTTTCAAAACGACTTCCGAACAATTTTTCACGCTAACGTTTGCATGGGGGTCAAAATTTAAATTAATAGGTAAAATAATTAGAAACATAATTATTTAAACATAAATCAGTTACATACTTATTTAAACAATTATAATAAATAGTAACAATGTCGGACGAAGAATTCAAAACATTAAAAGTTCAATGCAATATGCTTAAAAATCGATTATTTCGGTTTGAACTATTTTTAGATGATGCAGCGAATCATAAGAAAATCGATGAAATTGATATTCGTTTACAAAGATTAGATGAAACATGGAACGAATTCCAAACTGTACAACTTTCTATAGAATTAATTGACAATTCTGACGAAATTTGTGCTGAGAGGAATGAGTTTGAAGACAAATATTTTTATTTAGTTTCAAGATTCAGATATTTAATTAACACTAATAAAACACACTCTAACAACAATCAAGTAGTTCCTAATAATTATTTAAATCCGTCAATGAACATAAAACTACCTCAAATCGACCTGCCGCATTTTAATGGAACATACGAGAACTGGTTACCCTTTTATGAGGGATTTAAAGCACTTGTTCTTGATAATCCGTCACTCAACAATATTCAACGCTTTTATTATTTACTTTCGGCTTTAAAGAATGACTCGATTCAGGTAGTTCGGTCACTAGAAATCAGCGATCACAATTTTGATATAGCATGGCAATTGCTGAAGGACAGATATGAGAACAAACGTGTAATTGTTCAAAATCATATAAAAGGCATATTTGAGCTCCCCGTTATGAGCAAAGAAAATCACGGTATCTTAAGAAAAATTATAGACGGTTTTTCTAAACATCAGAGAGCTTTAAAGTCATTAGGACAACCAATCAGTACCTGGGATACATTATTGATTTATATTTTAAGCAATAAATTAGATAATCATACAAGACGCGAATGGGAAGCATCTTTAAAGTCAGATCAGCTACCAGATATAACTATATTTTTAGATTTTCTTAAAAATAAAGCACAATTGCTCGAAACATTAGACACTCGTGAAACAAATAGGGTAGTAGGAGTTAAGTCAGATAAATCATTCATGCGTTCATCAAGTCATTTAGTCACCAAAGCCAATGATCAATTTAGAACTGATTGTAGGTTTTGCAGAGATAATCACATGATTTACAAATGTGATAAATTATTAGCTCTTTCTCCTAAGGCAAGATATACGGAATTAAACAAATTAAATATATGCTGTAATTGTTTAAAATTCGGACATTCAGTAAATACATGTCGAAGTAGTAGTGCTTGTAAGCAATGTCATAAACGACATAACACTGTACTGCATTTCAATAATTATATTGTCAAAGAAAAAAACGTTACAGAATCACCTACATCAAATTGCACAGAATTATCTACAGTTCAACCAACACATTCCAGTGTTCACATATCACAAGAACGTCAGATTCTGTCAAATGCAGAAGATTCCATCGTGAGCGTGACTTCTCTAGAACAAAATTTGTTACATTCCAAATCAGTAAATGAGCAAGTATTGTTATCCACCGTACAAATACATGTTTTTGATATAAATAATAAGCCTCTCAAATGTAGAGCATTATTAGATTCAGGTTCTCAATCGAATTTTATGACTCATGAATTATTCAAAGTGCTTAAACTAGACGCTTTACCGATTCAAATACCGGTAACAGGAATTAATCAAACAAAGTTAAATATTAATAAAAGAGTTTTTGCCAAAGTTAAGTCAACTGATAGCTCGTATAGTTCAAATCTGTCATTTTTAATTTTAAACAAAATAACAAGTGAGTTGCCACAGTATTATTTTAGTCCTTCCGAGTTGAACATTCCAGACAATATTGAAATATCAGATCCAGAATATAATAAACCAGGTAAGATAGACATGCTGTTAGGCAGCGGAGTTTTCTTTTCTTTACTATCATCAGGCAAAATCGAACTAAATAAATATGGTCTTATCTTACAGCAAACTAAATTAGGTTGGATATTAGCCGGTCCATTACAAATTCCTGAGTCAAGCTCTTCTGAAATAGTCTCTTGTTCTAATGTAGTTCCAATTGTCTTTTTACGCCAAATTATAAACTTCTAAACGAACAACTCGAGCGTTTTTTGGCAAATTGAAGATCTGTCATCTGATAATACAAAGTTATCAAATGAAGAACTTGATTGTGAAATACATTTTCGAAAACATTTTGAACAGGACACTACCGGTCGTTACACAGTACAACTTCCGTTGAAGAGCAATCATACTGAATTAGGGGAATCAGTAAGTACAGCAATCCAGCGTTTAAAGCACCTGGAAAGTAAGTTAGCACGCAATGATGACTTACGTAAACAATATCATGAATTTCTGCGAGTATATGAAGACTTAGGACATATGTCAAGAGTTAATATCGAATTGGATAAATCCAATGAAATACATAATTATTTACCACATCACGCGGTAGTAAAAGAAGATAGTAGTACTACACGTGTAAGAGTAGTTTTTGATTCATCATCTAAAACGGCATCAGGGTTGTCTTTGAATGATGTGATGATGATAGGTCCTGTTCAGAGGAACTTATTTGATATTTTAGTACACTTACGCATATTTAATGTAGTCATTACAGCGGACGTTGCAAAAATGTACCGACAAATATTTGTCAATGAATCGCAGTGCAATCTACAAAGAATTGTATGGCGCAAAGAACCATCGCAAGAAGTTAAACATTATCAGTTGAATACAATTACTTATGGAACAGCTAGCGCTTCCTTTCTAGCCACACGTACTCTACATCAAATTGGGCTTAATTGCAAGGATACTGAGCCTATAGTTAGTGATACAATTTTAAATAATTTTTATATGGACGATTTAATTTTCGGAGCATCCACCATTGAAGAAGCTATAGAGCTAAAATCAGGGCTGGAAAAAGTTTTGTCGAATTCAAGATTAACGCTGAGGAAATGGCGATCAAATAAACAAGAAGTTCTTAATATAAGTTTAAAGAAAGAGTCAGAAAATGAAAGCCAATCTCAGTACGTGATATCATCAGATATGAAAGGAAAAACATTAGGTATATATTGGGATACAAAAACTGATATATTTCAGTATCTTATAACATATAAAGACTTAAAGAAACCAATTACAAAAAAGGTTATACTATCTACAATAGCCACTATTTTCGACCCACTGGGTCTCATATGCCCATGCATTATAAGAGGCAAATTATTCCTACAACGGCTCTGGCAATTAAAAATAGACTGGAATGAAGAAATTCCTGGCGATTTTCAAGACATTTGGAGAGATTTTATCGATACCCTGACAGACATAAATAAAATACAGATTCCGAGACATGTTATACTGACCAAACCGTCAAGGTTATATTTACATGGATTTTCTGATGGATCAGAAGTAGCGTACGGTGCTTGCATTTACATTGTGTCGACCGATGACAGTGGTCATAGTTTATCAAATTTAATATGTTCTAAATCACGTGTTTCACCGATTAAAACCATATCTTTACCGAGATTAGAACTATGTGCAGCGTTATTGTTAGCTCAATTAATGAACACGGTTCGACAAGCATTGAAACTTGATGTTACTTGTTACTTTTGGACAGACTCTAAAATCGTGTTGGCATGGTTAAATGATCAACCTAACAGATGGAAAACATTTGTAGCCAACAGAGTGTCAGAGATTCAGTGCTTGAGTGAACATTCCGATTGGTATCATGTACCTTCCCCAGATAATCCTGCGGATATTGTATCTCGTGGCTTACAACCTTCAAAATTAATACATTCTAAATTGTGGTGGCATGGCCCTGAGTGGCTTACTCAATCCATAGATCATTGGCCATCAAAAGGTGAAATTAAAATAGATACAATTCCCGAAATGCGCAAGGAAAAGATTATTTTAACGTATCATACAATTACTGACAGTTCAATATTTTCTCGATATTCTAGTTTTTCTAAACTACAGCGCGTAGTAGCTTATATTTTAAGATTTAATCATAATTCTAGAAATAAGGATAAACTAGATAAGGGTCTTTCCCATAACGAGTTGGAAAGAGCTACTCTGGTATTGTGTAAAATGGTTCAGGCACTGGAGTTTCCAGTAGAACTAGCTCTTTTATGTCAGAGCAAGTCGATTCATAAAAATAGTAATATTTTATCATTAGATCCTTTTATAGATAAGGATGGTCTTATTAGAGTAGGAGGGCGACTTAAACATTCATCTCTAACATTCGAACAAAAACATCCTATTTTGTTGCCCGGAAAACACATATTAACAAAGCTTTTAATAAAACACGAGCATCATAAATGTTTACACGCCGGTAGTCAATTAATTCTTGCACGATTGCGTACTAAATTTTGGCCAATTAATGGTCGTAATGCTGTTCGCAGTGTATTAAAGAATTGCCTCACGTGCTTTAAAACCAATCCAAAAACAGCGGTTCAAAAAATGGGTGATCTACCTGAATCGCGAATCACACCTTCTAGGGCGTTTTATCATTGTGGCATTGATTACACTGGATTTTACAATTTAAAAGACGGAAAATCAAGAACACGGACTTTAGTTAAATGTTATTTATGTATATTCGTTTGTCTAGCTACTAAGGCCGTACATGTTGAGTTAGTTTCCGATCTTACTACTGAAACATTTATGAACGCGTTTAAGAGATTCGTATCTCGGAGAGGTCTATGTCGACATATTTATACTGACAACGGTACTAACTTTGTTGGTGCTCATAACAACATGCAAGACGTTTATAAGATATTAAAAAACTTAAACGATAATGAAAAGTATTATAACTATTTTAAAGATCATATTATCGAATGGCATTTCATACCTGCAAGATCTCCTCATTTTGGAGGCATGTGGGAAGCGGCAGTAAAATCGTTTAAACATCATTTAAAACGAGTTGTTACCGATGCTAGTTTAACGTTTGAGGAATTTTACACGGTCTTGACTCAAATAGAGGCGATTTTAAACTCCAGACCTTTATCCCCTCTTTCAAATGACCCTTTAGACCTTTACCCATTAACCCCAGGACATTTCTTAATTGGCGATGCTCTGGTCTCAGTTCCTCAACAAGCAGTAGTTGATTTACCATTGAACCGATTGTCCCACTACAAGAAACTACAACAAATGGTGCAGAGTTTTTGGAACCGCTGGTCAAATGAGTATCTGCATACCCTACAACAACGTTCTAAATGGAAGGAGGACAACAGCAACATTATCATCGGCTCGCTGGTTCTCCTCAAGGACGAAAATCTTCCCCCCATGAGTTGGCAACTGGGTAGAATCATGGAGGTGATTCCCGGCAAAGACGATAAGGTTCGGGTAGTGCTGGTGCGTGTCCGTGGCGGTATTGTTAGAAGAGCGATACATAAAATTTGTCCGCTGCCTCAGGCAGACTAGATATGTATTATTAAGCTAAGATATACTAATATAAGTTATGATATGTTAGTAATATGTGCCATTTTTGATATTGTATAAGTTAATATTGTTAATTCAAATTAATATTTTATTTTATATATTGAAATAGTTAAGTATTTCAAGGCCGGCGCCATGTTTGTTACTTAATAGAGAATTTGAATTTAGCGCCTAAAGCGCGCCATATTGGTGACGTAGAGAATGACATAGCAGCCATGTTCAAAAAAAGAAATGTACACATATTCTTGTAAAACACAAAAAAAAATAAAGTTTCATAGAAGTTACAACTTCTTTCAATCCACAACATACACACAAAAATCAACAGTCCACTGCACAATCATATTCAAACAAATCAGGTATAGGTTACTGATTTCTGAAAATTCGACTTTTCAAGTGGAGAAAGATACGTCAAAATATTTTTCAATACCATTTGATAGAGAGTTATCCCGTGGTCTAAAAGAAATTTTTAAGAATGTCAATTATAAACTTATGTATAGTGCTAATAATAAATTACAACAATTATTAGGTAATCCAAATGATAAAACACGTCCACTGGAAAGGTCGGATATTTATGAAATTTCTTATAAAGATTGCAATCAGAAATATGTTGGGCAAACTAGAAGATCAATATTAACTAGATTTAAAGAACATTTAGCTCAGATAAGATATGGTAGACCAGATAAATCTTGCGTTGGCGAACATATTGTTGATAAAGAACATTGTATAGGTCTTAATAATTTAAAATTAATTAAACAAGTCTCAGATTACAGGCAATTAGATGTATATGAAAGCATCAGAATTAATAAATGTAAAGATAGTATGAACAGAGACAACGGTCCAATTCCTTCAAGTTCTTTGTTCCTGCTACTCTAGTGGCGGAAATCTAACTGTTACGCTCGGTGGGCTCTGACTCGGTTGGCTAGATCTTGCTATGCCCACTCGGTGCCCACTGAGCGAGTATCATGCGAGTAGCATCTGCTGATGATGCTAACATAGCAAAACGCGCGTCCAGTGTAAAAGTAAAAGTGTTTTGGTGTATTGTGGTGATTTAGTGTTTTATTTTACTAGCAGCGCCTCTAGTGTTTGTTCGCACAGTATAGATTTTGTTTTGTTTTGAAAATGTTCTAAAGGGGATGTTTGGTGAAAATCAGTGAAAAAAATACGACTTTTTTGACGTTCAAAAGCCAACTTAAAAAAAATAGCCATGACAACATTATAAACAAGTAAAAGTTTTTAAACCTTACCTAATTTGCTGTGTTACATTGTGATGGGCATCTCTCAACTTCGACACCCTAGTATTTAATATATTGCACTGATTCATCGTCTTCTCATAGCGTTTATGTCGCTCCAAGCTGTCATCGAACTTCCTTTTTAGCTGCCCTTGCTTATTCACTCGTTTCGCCTCTCTTTCCTTCTCATCATCAGAATAATCACCCATTTCTACCGGTTCTTCTTGGTCATTCAACCACGAAGCATCAGAACCTTTCAACCTAAAAAAAATATTCATTTTACTTAAAAATATTATTGTGTTGATTTGAAAACATACTTTAAAAGTTCCTTCAAAAAAACAAACTTGGTAGTGCAATCGTTTTTAGGGGCAACATAGATTTTTGCGCCGCCTTTTAAGCTGAACAAATTCACTTCTTCCGCTGTGTTAAATCGTACACAGTACATCGGTTCAGACACTGGGCCAAGAACGTCAAAAATCGGGCCTAAGATTTTTTTACCACCGTTTTCATTGTCTATAAATAGTAAGGTGTCGATGTCAAAGGCTGGACTACCAGGAACGGCGTCTATAGTAACTAAAAAATATATTAAACCATAAAAATATTGCATTTTTAAGCTTTATAATACAGTGTGACTGAAAAAAACGTTAATATTACCTATTTCTGAAATAATGACTTTTACATAGCCAATATGTAAAAATTCTTCCTTCTCTGTATCTATACTTAGTTGAGATAAATCAGGTACAGGGGATAGAAATTCATTGGGATCATAACCAGCCTGATGAGTTTTTTTGACAGCTCCTGTGCTGGTATGATCTGTAGCATTTCCGTTTCTTAAAATTTACCAATATCTTTATACAAATGTTTTAAAAATCATTATTATTAACATACCTAAATGTATCATCTGTGATAATAACTGATGCTGAATCAGTTTCAGAGTCAGACTCGGATGATATCGAAGTAGCTGTGGATGAATCGCTTTCGGAATCACTGCTATCTGAGCTAATATTTATTTTAGTTTTTTTTCCTTTCTTCCAACTTACTTCAGTTATTTTATCCATTTCTTTAAACCTCTCATCCTAAAAATGATTAATTTTAACCAAACATATAGGTACAATTTGAGAAAAAAATTTCCTACATCACTTGAGCTGTCGGAATTATAACCCAGAATTTGTCTCAAAGATTCCGATTGTTTTCTAACAATCACCTCTGACTTCGGCTGCATAGTCTCTTCTGTTATGTTTAATTTGTTCATACCCTGCTGTAATACTTCAGGTTCAATTTTAAAACTTGTACTATCATGTTCTTTTAATACTTTCGATTCAGTAGGTACAGAAACTTCAGTATTATTATCACAGGTCTTGCCTTCATTGTTTAGTACAGCCTGACTATTACATTGCAAAGTATTTTTCTCTTCTGGCATTGCTAATACAGTATCATGTATTACTAGTTTTTCTGTCGGAATATCACCATTTTCTTCAGATGAATTTTCGTTATTTTTACATTGTGATACTTTATCTGAATCAACCTCAACTTCTTTATTTGAAACTACATTACCAGAAAGCTCTTGAATTTCTCTCTCATGAGGTACACTATTATTTTCTATGGAATTTTCAAGAATTGGATTTTCTGAAGGCATGTTTTCATCCATGATTTCACTTTCGAATCTTTCGATTTTGTCGGTTTCTGTCGATGACATTATGGTATGTTATTGCAGAAAGCACTAGTAATAGTAGGACAGCATAAAACTATGCTTAAACTTGAAATAGATTATTAGAAAACGCCTTACCGGCAAACTTACATTAAAAACGATCCATTAAGGCATTTCATCGACCATTTTGAACGTGATTTAATGAAATTTAGAGGTTAGATTTTAAACGAGAAACTTCATAAAAAATATATATTAAAGTGAAAACGAATTATACCATTAAAAGATTATAAAATATTTCAGTATTCGATTTAGTGTGTTTTTATAATGGTAAAGTATCTAATATATATTTAATTTAATTTATAAAATAAAATCAGCAAATTTATTTTTATAGGCAACTAAATATACACGTCAGGTGTTTTACTGGTGAGCTACCTTTTCATATTTATTTTTGAATAAAAAGTAATTTAAACAAAAACAATTTTATTTAAAAAAATATCACATTATTTACACAATATTTACATACGAGTTACTTCGCTCAGTAGTCTTGTTGGCCCTAAAGTGTTTCTGAGTCTATCCCAAAAGGTCCGTTGCTTTCCTTCATCAAATTCCCATTGCAGGTAGATTCTGGTTTTCAACAAGTACTTCAATGTGGGTGTGAGATGATGTTCGCTCACAGAAGTAAGTTTGATGAGAATCAAAGAATCATCTACGTATTCTCCATCTTCGTTTTCGAAGAATAGCCTGTGATGGTCGCATATTTGACTCTCCCACCGACACCATTGTGATTTAGCATAGTTATCACTGATTACGAGCAAAGTTTTCCGGCTTTTGGCCACGCTTTCCAGAATACTCTCGGAAATGATGGTTCCTATTTGAAAATCTCGCTCATAGACGCAAAGTCTGAAGAATGGTTCGTTGTTTTCCAACATTGTAACCATTTTCACTACAAAATCCCTGTCTTCGTTGCTGTAAGACACGAAAGCATCATATTCGTAGTTCGTATATCCAGTTTTCTCCCTTTTAGGACGAATTTTTCCTTTTCTACTCAAGTAGAGCTTGGACAAAAAGATCCAGTACTTTATATGCCACCTGTAATAAAAAGCCAGCCCAGCTAGTATGGATAAAAGTATAGCAATTATGGATAAAGGCAAGAATAAGTACACTCCTTCGGGAACTAGAACACATATACTCTCCGCGTACTCCTTTCTGGTCAAGTAATCCATCAAGGTAACGTTATCCAGACTATCTGGATAAGTACACTCTAAAGGAGGCTGAAAAACCGACCCATTTTTGATTCCTGGACTATAGTTGTCTTTGGTAAAAGTTCTGTAAGCTTCGTAAGTGAAAAAACAGCTACAATGTATGACGTTTTGATCAAGATCCACACTATTTAGCCTGGAAAAGTCCTGATACATTGCTAAGGTTATATCAGAGATTTTATTCCTGGATACGATCAACTTAGTGATGTTTTCGTTAGAGCTTAGAATCCTGTGCTCCCAAGAATTGAGCAGATTGGATGATAAATCAATTTGAATGATTGATTTTAATGGTAGGAAATCTGTGGGTGATATTGCTGTAAAGAAGTTCTTATCCAAGCCTAAATATTTTAGGTTTTTTAGGTTTCTAAATGGGTTGCTTGGTCCAGACGAAATATATTTCAACTTACAACCACCTAAAAGTAGCACTTCCAACTTAGTTAAACTCCAAAACACATTAGGAATTGTATCGTCATGTAAAAGATAATTATTTGCGAGGTTTAACATCTTCAAATTTTCTAAAGGAAGGAAAGTGTTGTTTTCAATATGAAATACTGAACAGTTCTTCAATTCCAAGACCTCCAAGTGAGTGAGACCTACGAAAGATGTATTGAACAAATGAGACAGCCCGTTGAAATTTATATTAAGATAAACCAGTTTCTTCATGTTTGAAAACTGCTCATATTGAAGCCTGAAGTAGTATTCGTTGTTGACTGCGGGTGAATTTTCTTGTGCATCCAGATAAATCAAATTCTGCAAGACAAAAACTGCTTTTGGAATTGATGTTAGCTTGTTAGCACTTAGCAGAAGTGTTTTTAAGTTGGGAAAATTCAAAAAAGCGTCCTCACTGATGTTTGAAGGAAGAATTTCTCTTAAGTCCAAGTACTCTAAGTTGGGCATGTATGGAAAACTTTCGTTTTTAAGTACTTCAAACCTGTTTCTTGACAAGTTCAAGTGTGATACGTTCATCTTAGCTATCACTTCCATCATTCGTTTAGGAACATATTTTTTGAAACCCATATAAAATAAATTAAGCACCTTGAGGTCTATGTTTGCTTCAAACATTCTCTCGAAAAGGTCTGAGAGTTGATCGCTGCTTATTGTATTCTCTCCCAATCTTAGCGCTCGCAGGTTCTTTAATGGAACAAAGGCTTCTTGATCTATGTTGTCAATTCTGCAAAATATTAAACTCAGTTCTTGAAGAGTGCTGTTGGTCATAGGTAGAAAATCGTTTGATTGTATAGCGGCAAAACTATTCCAATCCAAGATTAATGTTTTTATATTTGGTACCATGCTTGGTTTTAGGTTTATAGTGATGTCGTGTATGGTATCAAAGCCATTTTTCTTCAAAAATAATCTTCTTAAAGCTGTTAGTCCTGTAAAGGTGTCAGGAGATAGAGTTTTGAGTTTGGTGTTGAAAGAAATGGAAAGATTCACTAAGCTTGATAAGTTTTGGAACAATCCAGGTGACATAAACTCCAATTCGTAGTTTCCCTCAATCTGTAAGTCTCTCAAATGCTCTATTTGGTCGAAATCACCTGGAAGCAGCTTGGTAATGTGGGTATTGGTGAGTTTGAACCAAGGCGATTGTATTTTCATGAATTTGGGCATGCGAGTGCAACCGCTTCGACCAAAACATACCGAACGCGTGTCGTTGAAGCCTCGACATAGGCAACCGGTGGCTTTGTCTTCTCCAAGCAGCGGGGGTAGTTGTTCGAGGTTGGGGATTTGCTGTCTGATCACCACTGGGGGGCATATGTCCTCGTCGCATTCTTCGTAGCAGTTGGACAAGTTGAAACTCGAAAATGCTAAAAGAAGCCAGAGGAAGTGCATAATTTCTTCGTGGGTGTCATGACTTCAGATCTGTAAAGATAAAAATAGGATATTTAATAATAAAATTATGAAAAAGAAAAAAATCATTTGAATCATCCTGTATATCTCTAAAAATGTAGTGTAATGTTGTAAAATATCCTTTACACCATTGCCCTCATATTTTATTAAATTAGTTTGGAATGAATATCTCAAATAGGAAGCCCGATACAGAAGCTTTTTGAAAATTGGACCACCCTTTAACTTTTACTGGATATTTTTTAAAATCTACCGATATTCCGGAAACTTCGGCAACGTATTATACAGGTAAAAATAAGTTAAAAAGTTTGTATATATATTATGTCCTAAAATATTTAGTTTCGGAGATACAGGGTGTAGAAGTTTCATTTTTAATTCGATTTTTTTCAAATAATTTCTAAAGGAACGTCAATATTTAGATGAAAATTGGTGTCTGGGAGTTTTTTGACATGATAAATTTGATTTTGATGTCAATATGACTCCTATTTGTAGGGGGCGCCAGCTACATGTGTTTTCACTGTTTTGAAGAGTAATAACTTTTTGTCCGTACCTGTATAAAACTACTGAGTAAAAAAATATACAGTCACGACGTTTTTTACGTAAAAAATGCCTAAAAAATTAATTAAAAATAATATATATGGCGTTAACATACTAGCTTCTGCTGTGAATTATAACAGACAAAATGTTCAATCGTGTAAAAATTATGTAATTGTATTAATTAGTGTTTTGAATTCCAACTGAGTGACGATAATAGCAAATCTAGTTTCCTGTAATTATTTACTATATAGATATATTCTCGATTTATAACAATCAAAGCCTATGGAGCTTAGATTAAAATCAAATTATTACTTATTATACAGTAACAAGTATTGGAGACTAATAATTTATTTAATTATACATACTACTTTGCTATTTTGAAATTTTATATTTACTATACCTTTCCTATTTTTTGTTAAAAAGTTATATAGAATTTCATAGGCATAACTAAATAAGAAAAATACTTTTTTTATTTATTAAACATTATATACCGTGCCGGCAACTGTTACTTTTGGGTCGGCATTATATACATGTGTGGAGGTAAATCGCATAGAGATCTTATTAAGTCGGAGTGAGAGAAATGCGACGGCGTGCTGTTGCAGCGTTGCCGGTAGGTCTTTCCCCTATCAAGTAAAGTAAAATCACGATCGCAAACAGCTTATTTGTAAAAGACTTTTTTTCAAGAGATAATTATATAAAATCATTAGATATGTTTCTGAGCATCTGAAATGGAATTACAAGGATATCGTTAGGGTGTCATTTTTTTTTATAACGAAAAAACGTCAGTAATCGCGATAATTTAAAAACTCGACTTCTTAACACATAACAGGCCATAACTCAAGAACCTCTTTAGATATTGAAACTTTTTTTTATTTTCAAGATCGGATATTTTACAATATGTTTACATAAGAAAAATTCGATAAGGTTGTTTTTTCCATTCAAAAATTGTAAACAATCCATCCATTTACTTTTAGAGCATAGCAATTTTCAGCAATCGTGTAATTTTTTTAATGATAAAGATTTTCACATACTGTCTACAAAAAAAATACAGCAGAAATATTAACAAAGTTCTTGAAAAAACTACAATCTATTATTTCTAATAGATTTCGAGGTATCGATTTTTGAATTTTAAGTTCTAATAGCGCGACCACTATCGAACACCCACTCAATTCCACTTATTTTTACCAAAAATGCAAGTGTTTCTAGCTTGCACTTAAAAAAATTCAAGCTATAGGGAAAATTACAACGACTCGTTAATAAATAAACAAATTAAGTATCACGGGACGTAATTAAATCGTGAAGCTGAACGCATGACGTACACCTTTCCCTAGAACTTTAAGTACTGACAGAGGTATTGATTGGGTCGACCGGTCAACTGCGACAAATCTGCTATATCCCTTTCCACGTCTCTTAGCGATGTGCACAGTTTCTCGGTTTATTTCATACGTTTGGCAACGTGTTTACTGCCCTCTCTTTGTTCAGTACATTATAAACGCATTTTACTCTTCTTACATACGGAAATCTCGACCCAAGACTAACCTTTGCCAGCCCATAGAATATCTTTAGACGGTACCCTTAGTATTCTTTGGTATCCCTCGTATATAGCTGTTGTTTAATTACCTAATTATTTAAGATGATAAATACCCTAAATGAATATACTTATACCAAGGATTGTTTAGTTTATAATTATGATTCTCATACCAAGTCAAATAATCACAATTTTCTTATATTTGTTCGATGAGTAGGCTTGAAACATAGCAACAAAATTTACTGGAATATTTAGTATCACTTAAAGTTAAAATTATGTATGTTGACGATATGAACATTGTTGGCTAGATAACGGAAGGTAGATAAAAATTTACTGTTAAAAACTGTAAAATCCCTTAGCAATATTTTTTAAAACACATTTTGCTAGACTTTGTAATTAAAATTTGGTTTAAAGTAGACTAGGGTCCTCTAGTCAAAAATCTCTATAACTGACTTTTTGGTATTTCTGAAGTATCATACGATCGAAAAAAAAACGGCTTGGGAATGACAATAGGTGATAATTTTAGCGAGGTCAAGCTCTAAAGCCCCTAGACGTCATTTGCTTGACCATTCTTTATTTTTTTTTATTAACGCAAAATCATAAAAATTAAAATATCTAGGAAAATATTTATCTTAGGGGTAGGCAACCTTAATAATATTTTAAAGATATATAAATTCTCCATTGAACACCGGAATAATATACCGGGCGTTCCATTTAAAATAAAGGAGTAACTTGCTTTTAAAAGTGATTAATGTTCCATATTAATTTTGTTTCCCCCTGTATAACTTTTCGGGTCAAATTTCAATTTGGTTTGTAATTAAATATTAGGCTATACAAGGCCATCTAAAATTTAGGTAGCTGTTATCGAAATTTAAAATTTACTGTTCATTTTGACAAAATGTGAAATATGTCAAAATCCTTAAATTTTAGGTATAATATATGCTTTTTTAATAAAACTCACCTTTATTTTTTTCCTAGAATCCGAAAATCGATTAATATATAGGGTGTTCCATTAGAAAAAACACAACTTTGATGTTAAACTTTTTTTGGGAACACCTTGTATAATTCTATATATTTTTATAAAATGCTTTCAGTTAACCTACGGTCCAATTTGCGAACTTAGGAACTTTCGTCATCATTTTCGGCGCCATATTGGTTTTCACGTAATTCCTGAGTTGATCCATTAAGCCCCGTTCTCAGAACGACGTCGTGTCGCTGGCGACACAGTTTGACATTTCAAACAACCAATGGGAGCTGTACTAAATTTAAAATTGACAGCTGTTTGAATTTTGTACAAATCTCATTGGTCCTTTTGACGTGTCGCTGGCGACAGTCGCTGTTCTGAGAACGGGGCTTTAGATGTAAACATTTAAGGTGCTATCGCTATTAGTAGGGAGCTATTGTATTCATGATAGTGTTACAGCGTTAACATTAAATTTGGCTTTTGCACTATCTACAATAATTGTAAGATGTAAATAGATAGTACGATGTACAAAATAAAAAGTTACATAAGCCCCAGTGAATTCCCGCACAGTATGTGTAACTTGTTGCTGCTTTTTGTTCTTGATCTTTCACGATTACTCTGGAACTTATTCTTTGCATAGTCGAGCGTGAAATTCCTAAAGCCTCCGATGCTCTCTATAAAAACTCGTGAATATTTTCGATTTATTTAGAAAATATTAACTCGGTAGTTGTCCAATTACATCGTAAACAGTTTCACTAAAACGGGACGGCATTTTAAACACAAATTAAATCACAAATAACTAAGTAAACACACAAAATCTCCCACAAAAATATCAAAAAGTGATAAAAATCATCTTCGAAAAATTTACGGGAAACTATCGGAGCCCTTAAAATTTAACGTCAACTTTGACAGTCGGCGTTCTGTTCGGCGGTTAATACAAATACTAGCGATGGGAACTATCGAATGAATTAGACTATCGAATGGTTAATGAACGAATGATTTCAACTATCGAATGGTTTTATTCGAATAAAATCATTCATTCATTTGTATACTAAAGCATATGTGACAACCTCGCTGTGCGACTAAATGGTTATCGTTGAGCCACGACTATCGAATGCTTTTGACAAATGAAATTTAGTATTCGTTTGATTTTTGTATGCGTCAGTGCATTATTAGTTCTTCCAAATTTTTATAACTTCGCCGTATAAATACTGTGCTATTTTTGCGTTTATTAAAATAGTAGTTATTTTTTAATTTTATTTATTGATGATTGTGTGCATGTGCGGGTGGTCAAAATTTTTCCGAAAATTTGTGTGGTTTTCCGTAGACCGATCTTTCAATTATTTAATTTTATATGGTATATGGTCTATTTTTTAATGGGAAATTTTGAGAAGTAGCAATTTTTAAGAGAGATGAGATGAACTTACAATTAATTTTAAAAATACATATTTGTATTTTAGATGTTTTAATAATATGAATTAGTTGAACTTAATAATCATATTTAAGTAATGTGGTTAAGTAAATGGTTATCGAACTCAAACTATGGGGTGAGAAAATTAAAATGAAAGTTTTACACGTGCCAATTAAAAAAAAAGTTAACGATGTTTTTATTTTGTTTATGCTAATTCTCTTACATGTAGTTTTTTGCGAAGAAATATTTCATTTATTTTTTAAAGTAAATGCCAGTAAAAGTAAATATAATTTTTAAATAGTAATATAAAGCACCTAATATAAATAATTTTGATTTCTAATTTTTTATTTATATTTTTCTTCCATTACACTGCATGCTTAGAAAATTAATAAATGTTTATATTTCATGATTTTAAAATTTGTTGTTAATATAACAAATTAGTTCTGTAATTATTATTATTTAATAAACCAACGTTGCCACACACAAAAAATTTAGAGACTAAAAAAAAATATTTATATTAAATGATTTTAAATTTTATTGTTAATAGGTATAACAAATTATTACTGTTATTATTATTTATTAAACCAGTCTTTGCTTAAAAACATTAAAACTTATTTTCCTACATCCAAAATAACAAGTATTATTGCAGTGTAACAATAGAATATTAATAAAAAAAATGCAGAATATATAGACATACTTTCCCTAACTAACTAAAAAGCCAAACAATAATATTCTTTGCTAATATCAACTAATACCAAAATATGGCAACAGCGCCCTTCATAATGTATTTTTTGTGTAAATACTAGCACCTCAATAAAAAAATAATGTGTCCTTATCTATATCTGACTCCGCAAAAATCAAAGATGCCGGCTTCTTTCACTTAGCATTGCCACCAACCGCTGTCGGGTTTCTCGGAAAGAAACCTACGTCGCCGGGCGAGCATTTCAAATACATCTGAAAGTCAACCTTAAAGGTCGTTTAAGGTCTCACAACAAGGTTCTTTCTGGAATCACTCAAGGAGGTTTGAAAGCCACATATGTCAAGGTCAAGCGAACTGCGCATGTGGAGGAGCCCAATCGGCTAATATCTCCTACTGACGGATCTATTCGATATTTTTTATTCGAATAGTTTTCAACGAATGTTTTCTTACTAGCTATCGAATTATTCGAATGAATTGCAACTATCGAATGTTTCGATAGTATTCATTTGATAGTTCCCACTACTAGTAATTACCCCTCCCAGGAAGAAGTTTATAAATAAGATAAAAAATGTGGTCTAAAGAAGATACTTACGAATGAAATTAATAATACCAATCAACATGGAATATCCAGACCTAATCAAGTTAATTTTTTTCACAGTCACAATAATATCTTTCGATAGCGAAAATTTAATGTAAATCCAGTATTTTCTTTAAATATTGGCACCTCCCAGAATCAATCTCTAGATGCGCCACTGTGAGAGATTAAAATAAGAACTAAACAAAAGTTGATTACCAATTTATGCTTTTACCATAAAATCACCTAAACAAATCAAATAAATGGTATTTTTAATCATTTTCTGTTTGCCTTGCCACAGATGAAAGACACGGGTTTATTTAGAACCTATTTCAGTTCTGAAAATTTTAATTATACATGTTTATTTAATTTGGTTTAACTATCTAAAACGGCTATTAACATATCAATTTTTGAACTCAGGAATTCTTAAGTTAATATTTGATTACAAAATAGAAATTAGATAGTTCTTGTTAATTAATATTTACAGTAAAAAAAGCTGGTGGATTTTTTACATCCGGGTCATATACAAAACTGAAATTGAAAATTCCTGTAAGCATCTCAGATTGTGCTAATATAAATTTTTAAATGATAATTTTTTAGCAGAGTGGATGTTGGTTTTTAACGACATATTTTTCTCTAAACTATATGTTCATTTTATTACTTGAATGTTTACTCAAACAATCTAATAGGTTCGTTAGACCATTATCTAGCAGTTTTTTTAACATCTTAAATCAACATCTGGCCTTTAGCCAATGTTTAAATACAGTTATTCAGAATTTTTCATAAGAAATGTCTCTAAAATGTTTTAATAATAAAGTATTCTTCTTCAGTATAACATGAAAATAATTGAATATTGGAACCCCTGTATATTTTGTAGGTCTGCTAGGTAAAAAAATATGCAATGTAGCGTTTTTTTACAAGTGGTAAATACTAAGTGGACCATTTTATGTGAAAAAAAAAACAGTCGTCAGTGGTGTTATTTCTACTAAAGTGAAAATATTTCTACTAACATTTATGTAGGGGTGGGGGTAGTTTTAACTCTCCCCGTACTTTTTCTTGATTATTGTGAAAATCAAACGTTTAAGCACTTAGCAAAACAAAGCCACACTAAATCTCATTCAAATCGTAATAACTGTTCTGAAAATATTTTAAAAAATGTGTTTATTTTGAAGCACTATTTTTTAAAAGCACTTATATTGATTCCAAAAGTACGTTGTAGTTCTATGTGCACGAAATATTGGGACACCCTGTATAGTTGGGTTATTTTTAGGCTACTTGTTAAAGGATCTTAAACTAGGAGAAATTAATTACTGTTCTAAGTAGGTAATATTGTATTGGAAATAAAATAAAAAGTTGATGGTTATAAATTCAACGAAATGAACTATCTTGAAAATATGGCAATATTGCCTAAAGATATTTAACAAGTTTAGTCAATTTGAACAAAGAAAACCCAGGTAACTGTATAGCTATTGTTCACATTCATATCTCTTCTAAGAATATGTTTTTTTAAATAAAAGTATAATTTCTAAATTTTCTTTTTGAATGTAAAATAATGGAAAATAATATTTTACTTAATTTTGATGTATATTATTCTTATTTTTTTATATATTACTCTTACTCTCTTATTAATTATTATAATTCTTAAATTATACAGGGTGAGCCTTAAATAAGTGAAAATATTTTATAAACACTTCTATGAGTTTTTTTCGCGAAAATTTTGGAAAAATTTGGATTTTTTTTATTTATAGTTAAAAACATTCAGAATATGGCAATATAGGTAGTAGATTAAATTTACAAAAAAGAAAACCTAGAAAAGATCGAGTGTTTCTCAAAATTTAAGCTTTTTTTTAATTTTCAAAGCAAAATATCTCGTTTATTTTGGACTTATTTGAAAAACGGTAAAGAGAAAATACGTTTCTTTTATCGAGATCTACCAGCCCTGAAAATATCTGCACTTATTTGAGACTCACCCTGTATTATTTTGTATTTAATTCAGGGTTAATATAATCCAAATCACACAAGGTCTTGCTTTGAAATTTTTACTAAATTACCATATAAATATATTAATACCGTATGATCGAAAAAAAAGGCGTCGAAGACAGCTCGGGAATGATAATTTTGAGACGTCATTTACTTAAAATTGAGATAAAACTTGTCAAAAGTTAACACTAATTAAAAATAAATCATTTGTAGTCAATATAAAAATAAGTTACCACCTTCTTAAAGGTAACTAGCAGTAAGTGAGTGCCTTTAAGAAATAAGGAAGGGTACAGGACAAGTAATGACGTCTAGAGATTGACCTCGCCAAAATTATCATCGAATTTCGTTCCCCAGCACACTTTGACGCCGTTTTTTTTTCGCTCGTAAGTTTGTTAATGAGAATAATAATAAAATAAATTCCGCATATAATACCACATAGTATATAGATGTAACAAATTTTCTATAACAACATTTGTTTTTTCTTACTTTTTTCTAACTATTATTTTTTAATTTCCTACTACGAAAAAGTATTGGAATGTAAGAAAGAAAATTATATTTTATTGATTTCCAATACTAGAAAACACAATTTACTCAAATAAAAAATTTTCAAAATTACTTAAACAAAATTTGATTAATAATTATTTTATGATATTTTATTCAATAATTAAATATTTAAATAACTTACCCGTCTTTAAAATCAAAGAAAATCTTTTCTTAAAACTCAAATCGCCACTCTCTATGCACTGCACGCATCCTTCATTTTTTTTATTCTCTCGGAACAGTGGAACGAAAATCGGAATCACAGGTTTACTAGATGTGCGGAATACTCCTTGAATCGCTATACGCTACTGTCATATTTAGCATATAACATGCTGTCTACCTTCTACAGACATAATAAAACGCGCGATAATCGGTAAGGCTTGGATCTTTTTGGGGGAAAGTAGGCTATAATAGTGACGTTACAAGTTTTTTCATCTTTTGGTGTCAAAAGAATGACGTATTGAAGACGTGATTTAGCTATTTATTTTACCGGATTTTACTCAAAAGTGGCTCACCCTTATAACTTTTTTATTTTTTCAGATAAAAAACGATATTTGGTATGTTAGTATATGACATAAGTTAGGATTGATTGACGTATTCAATTATTGTTTTCGGTCACTTCCTCTTTCACTGGAAATGACTACAACTTTTGATTTTTACTTTATTTTTTTTTACTTTATTCTCTGAATAAGAAGACTAAGGAAGGAGCATATCTTAGGTACACCGCGATGGGCCTCAAATATGGCCGACTTAAATTCCGGTTTATCAGTGTCGTTCTAATTTTATTTAAAAAATGTAAAACTATGATGTAGGGTAGACGTGGGGTAGACTCAATAATTTGTTGTTTTATTTTACGTTGTGAATAAATGTTGGTAGTAATTAAAATTGTTATAAAAATATATAATTCTAATAAAAATAGATAAGTTATAATAAGTATTTATTAACACAAACATCCGATACGCTACTGAAGCAGGTAAGTCAAATTAACGTATCTAAATTCTTTGACATCTAATCTTTGACAAGTAATAAATAAAAGCTAAAATGCAAGAAAATATATAATTTAGTTAATTTAAGTGAATTTCATAAATGATCGGTTTACTACACGTATGTATATTATATAGTCACTTACTAGCGAAAAGTTGTTCCATTATTTCACTCAATTTTTGCCGAGATCTACCGCACGCTACACAACCAACTATTTTAGAGTCTTTTTCGATAAATCGCGATAGTGTCACTGCTAATTTAAGTTCTGCCACAATTTCCATCTAGATTTACTACCTTTATACAACTATCAGTAGTAGAATAAATAATAAATAACATAAAATGAGCTCCGTAAAGACTGACAAATCCACAAAATTTCAAATCATATTCAAATGTGTCAAATGAATCGTCAAACAGAACTGTCAAGAATCCCCACCCTAGAGTGCTTTTTCCGCCCACCATGCATGAATACATGGATAGCATTATGCTCCTTCCTTAGTCTTCTTATTCAAAGTCTTTATTCGATAGAAAATGACACTCTGACTAGAATGACACATGTAAACTTTTGATATTTACGGTTGAAAGATATCGTATTTTAAATTATATTCTAGAAGGCCGTGACTGTGTTAAAAACATTAATTTTTAATGAAGGGGCTTTGGAAAAAAAGATTTGATCGTCTAGGGTTTTTCGTGTCTTGTTCTGGCCGGTTAAAAGATACCCAAGTGGTATTTTTAATCATTTTTTCAAATGGAACAAGGGTGGCTCGTTAGCATATTTGGAAAAATATTCTTTTTGCGACTAATCTGGTACCACACACTTGGTATTTCAAATCACTTTGTTATTATGAACCGCATGTTACAATAATTTTAAATAAACCATATGCGAAAATGTCAAAATATGACAATATAATCAAAGTGTCATTTTTTATTGAATAATGTAAAAATATACCGAGGGTGCTATTTAAAAATCAAAAGTTGTAGTCATTTCCGGTGAATCAGGAAGTGACCAAAGCAATTGAATACGTCAATTAATCCTAATTTATTTCATTTACTAACATTCTAAAATCTCGTTTTTTCATATGAGAAGATATAAAAAAGCTATAGGGGTTGAGTCACTTTTGGGACGCACTCGGTATATTCCAGTTAATAAAAAGGGCCTTTTATTATTATTTAAATAATTGTTATTTTGATATACTTAATCAGATCCCAAGTAGCATTTTCACGACTTGCGACCACATGTTTACTAAACACAACGTTGGATTAGTTACAAAAAATAGCTCCCTACCTTGGGTATTAAAATAAATTTAAACGTTTTTATAACGTTGTGCCGACGTTGGACTAGTACTACAGCAAAGTAGAAGCTTCTGCGACGTCGAATAAACGTTGTCTTGTAACCTTTTTGCTTAAGAGATCTTTAGGTGATTCGGATAATGTAGTTACAACGTTGGACAATATAGAGTTTTCCGACGTCAGTTTCAGGACCTATTCCAACGTTATACAAACGTCGTCTGTTTTACTAATTCCAACGTTGTTTAGATTTCCTTATTCTTACGTTGGTAGGACGTCGAGTCACTACCTTTTTGCAACTGTATTAAACCATAACATAACCTTAAATCTTAAATTTTCACTTCATTGTTCTGTTCAGTCAGACAGTTCAGTGCTGTTTTTGTTTTTATTAAAAAAACTTAATTAAAATGGGACATAAGAAAGGTACATATAAAACTAAATTTAAATATACATCTACATATATTACCGATAGTTTATCCACTCCCTCGTTTATTTAGATTATAGAGGGCGGCACAAGCTAGACTCTAGGATAACTAAATTAGGCAATCTTGCGACTAGTATACTACCTGTTAAGGCCGAACTGCGACTTTATTAGTCCAGTATGCGTCTACTCGAACTACTCCATCTTAATCTCCCAAAACAACAAAATTTAAGCCGCCATGTTGTTTAATAAGAAAATGTTTCGTTCCTAAAATAGCAATTCCTGCTGAATACATTAACTTGAAATATTTGACCCTAAACATCACGCGGAAAGAATTTTTTCGACTGCGAATAAATTATTCTCATTTTACTAAAAAAAATTCAAGAAAATTTTTAAAACTTCTTTAATTTTAAGGCCCATTAGTATTTCTCAAAGTAGAAACAATACATTTATCAATAAAGTTGTTTGCGTTTAACTTTTTTGACTTGGGTAACGAGTTACAGAGTCGGTTAAAGTGTTTCAATAATTATGATCTTCAAACATCCTTCACACTTAAATACTTTTGTTTTGTTTTCCTTCACTGCCATCTGACATATGTCTCTAACTAAATCATAAAAATAATATTTTTACAATAATTATCCCAATTTAGGATAAAACGCGACTTTAGACGCCATATTAGTTTTGTATTTCTGTGAATCAGGATTTTAAACAACGTTGCAGTTTGTAGTAAATTAGGCTTCTAGCCAACGTCGGTATCCAACGTCGTTTTGACCCAAAAATTATTCTCCAAACTAGTGCAGACTAGGGTTGGCACGAGGTTGTGCCGACGTTGCGCCCCGACGTTTGGTCGCGTGACACAACGTTGTCCCGACGTCCAAATGCTGCTTGGGATGTTTATAAATAACTGGGGAAGCATTTAATTACTAGAATAATAAACACAGAATAATCACAATAAAGTTATTTTAATTTTTATATATTAACTAGCGTGTACCAGCGACTTCGTTCGCGTCGAATTAATCATTTATTGTAATGGTGATGATAAAGCAAAGCAAGAATTTCCATTAACATACAAACTGGATAAAATTTTCTCACATTTATGTCAGCATGAGAAAAAACAATATGGCGATATTATTATATAACTTGGTAATATTTGAGGGGTGGTTTCACCCATAAAATAATAAATTCAAGAAGAAGTGTCAAGTCAATGTTAAATTATGGAAACAGCGTGGCTGCCTGGGTAACTAATTTTCAGATATGGCGGCTGGGACATTTGACATGACTATGACATGGGACATAGACATGACAATTTCAATTTTATGAAATTTATTTCCGTTTCCGGTTTTTAATGGCGTTCTGTTCAGGAGGTTTAAATGAGGGTTAATATACTTTTTACTCTTTCTAGTAGTAAATAATACAACAAAATTACTCAAAAATATTTATTTGGAATTTAGAACAATGTAAATATGCAAATCAACACAATTAAAAAGCTATAAACCAATAAACTACTGTATCAATATCAAATATTTAAATAATATCAGAGATGCTGTGTTAAAGTGAATTAGTAAAGTAACAGAGTGCATTGACTTACAGAAACTTGAAGATAAATAAATGTTTTCACAGCTTCACGGGCATAAAACTAAATAACTGGAAGCAGGAAAAAGGCAACCGGAACCCACACAAAACCTGGAATCAAAAAAAAATATGTAAAAAAACATAAATATAGGTACATAAGACTTTTGTGAATTAAATCAAACAGGACTTGAATGAAAATAAAATGAATAAAAAATATGATACATATACATCTAATACCTCATTTGTATTTTAAAAATAATCTACATACATAGATTTGTAGCATTATTGCTATGAAAATACATAATAGGTACCTATGTGATATGTAATTACGCATTTCTGTTCATCTTGTAGAAAATTAATGTAGGCTAATATAGTTCAATAATCATAATTTACCTTGTATAACTTGCTTTCAATTGCTCAAAATCACCGATCAGTCTTTAAAGTAGAGATACGGAAAAATCCTTGGCAAAGAATATCCCAAGATCCTTGGGTTTAAAGTTAAAAAATATAAAAACAGTTAATATATTACCTATTTTTACATATAATATGGCCCATACCTACTACACGCAGAAACGTCGATTTCATCATTTTCTTCATGTAATTAATATCATATATACTTTATTAAAGTGTTAACAAGGAACTTTATATCAAAAAACATCTTTGTACTTATAGATTTGAGCCGAAATATCAGAAACAAACTTCCAATCAAATCAAAACGGCAAAAATTAAAATGGCGCCCGACCTTGCCAGAGGCCTCGGGACTTCTCGGGAGCTGACGCTGACACACAGACAAAAGACAAAAGAACAGGACGCCGACGTGCATAAAAATGTTCCGTAGCAGAAATTGACAGAAATCATATAGAAATATTCAGATTTTTGTCTAGGACAGTCTAGAAGGCCATGCTTTCTGCCTGGGTAGACCCGCGCCATAACTGTTTCCAATTTTCCGGTTTACTGTCACCCCCCTGGTTTCACCCTCTTGGAACTGGAATTTCGAAAAATCCTTTCTTATCGAACCTCTACACCCTAGAATCAACCTGTATGCCAAAATTGAGCTTCTTACGTTGAGTGGTTTGTGCAGGATCGTGATTAATCAGTATGTCAGTCACTTAAGGATTTTATATATTAGTATAGATTATTTATTTAATTTTTTAAATAATTAATTATATTAATATTACTTTTAAACTAAAACTACTCATTATCTTTTTCAATTCTTTATATTTTTAAAAGTTTCACAATATATTACTCAGTAGACATTAAAAAGAAATAAGTAATTGCACTCTATTTAAAATAAATAAAATATTTTAACATGATTTTACATATTTACAATATATATACAGTAGGTATAAAAAATAAAAATGACTATAACTTTTTTATTATAAAAAAAATCAGGAAAAATCTTTGGCATTTGATGAACAACAAGGTCTCATAGCTTCTTTAAGAGTAGATTGTCATTAGAATCATCTGAAACATGAAAAATTTCTATAAATATATAAAAGTACTATACAGGGTGTCCCAGAAATAAGTGCAAGTATTTTAAGGGGTTTTAAGGGGTGGTAGATCTCGATAAAAGAAACATATTTTCTCTTTATCGTTTTTCAAATAAGTCCAAAATAACGGTGTTATTTTAATTTGATGATTTCCAAAAAAATGATTTTTTGCTAAAATTTTGAGAACCACTGGATCTTTTCTGGATTTTCTTTCTTGTAAATTTAATCTAATACCTATATGTTGCCATATTATCAAGAAATTATGTTTTTTAACTAAAAACTAAAAAAAATCGAATTTTCAATTTTTTTTTAGTTTCTGGGGTTGAATTATACCAGTTAAAAAACTTGCACTTATTTCTGGGACACCCTGTATAAGTACTCAAATATTAAAAAATACACTTGATTTTTACCGTATGATCGAAAAAAAAAACAGTGTCGAGTTAGCTGGGAAATGACGATCTATGATAATTACCATATAAAAAATGACAGCAATCTTCATTTCATAACCATCGCTGACGCCTTTTTTTTCGATCATACCGTATATTAACATAGAAAAATCAGTATGTACTTCAAAAAAAATTATCATCATTTATTTTTTACCTCTTCAAGTGATATAGGGTTACTCTTCATTTTGGTGTCCAAATTATGGTATCTTTCTGAAAAATAAAGTAAAATAAATAAACCAAAAATTATTTTGAAGTAATTATATTACCATGGGCAAGATGCAGCCTCACTAAGGCCATTATGTAATTTTCTGTGGTTACTATTCTGTTTTTGGCGAACCTCAGGACCAGGCATTCGAGAACTTTATTACTGACTGTACACCCAGCTTCCCAAAGGAGTGATCTTAAGTTATAACTAGAAGTTTTGCCACTGCCATGACTTCTTTCAAATTTTTGGAACGCAAACTACAAGAAATAAATAATATATTATTTATTTTGGATTTGATAACAGTTATTTTTTATATAAGTCATCTTTTGGGGAGCAGTTTATCCATGCTAGAAATTGTGTAATACCACGGAGGTTCCAAGGAGAAAGACAGTTTGTATTGAAATGAAATTTTGTGAGCATATGTAGGTTAATTCAGAGCACTTTCTAAAAATATGGAGAGTTCTACAGGGTGTCCCCAAAAAAAGTTATATATCAAAGTTGTGTTTTTTGTAATGGAACACCCTATATATTAATTGATTTTCGTATTCTGGGAGAAAAATAAAGGTGAGTTTTATAAGAAAAGTATATGACTAAAATGTAAGGTTTTTGACATATTTGACATTTTCTAGAAATAAAAAACAATTTTTTAAATTACAATAAAAGCTACCTAAATTGGAATTTACTCGGTATAGCCTAATATGTAGTTAAATTAACTCTTCTACTTTAAATCAAATGAGAACTTGATCCAAAAAGTTATACAGGATGAGACAAAATTTATATTGAATATTGATCAGTTTTAAAGCACGTTACTCTTTTATTTTAAATGGAACACCCAGTATATTATTCCGATATTGAATAGAGAATTCATGTCTCTTCAAAATACTATTAAGGTTGCCTACCCCTCGAACAAAGATTTTCCTAGATATTTTCATTTACATGATTTGATATAAGTAGATCTTTATTATTTGATAAAATCTAGGTGGCTGGTGATATGTCTGACGTTACTTCAATATAGCTGTCTAATTAGTTCAACTTTAATAACTAGTTATCGTTTTGTGTCAGTTAAAACAAAAAAAATTCTGAGAAATTTGCCGAAAATGCAAACTTATCCTACATCAGAGAGAATTAATATGATTCTATTAGTTGGTGAATGCAGCGTGCATTCACCAATTAATAGTGAATTAGTAATGGAGTCTTGATCATCTGCTGATGATGCTAACATGGTTGTAAAAGTTTTTTTTACCTTCCAAAATTGAAGCATGTGAACCAGAACTGGAACATCCATAAGATTGATTCTTCCGCTGATGTTGTAGTCTCTGAGCATTATGAGGCTTTTACACAACTCTAACGAAGGTTTTTCTGTTAAAAAGGCTTTCCAGTTCGATTTGAGAAGCTTCTGTAGCTGCCCTGCGTCGATTTCTGGGGGATATTTCATCAGGTACTTGGAGGTAATAGTCTTGGAATCTTTCTAAAAGAAATTATGAAGTTAATATACAATATCAAATTGAAATATCATCCAGTTTATAGATACTGTATTAACAAAATCAATATTTTTCATTGAAAAAAACCGGCGTCAGCGATGGTTATTCCCTTTTATTCCAAACTAAAGAGACGCCGTTTTTTTCGATCATACGGCAGTATAATCGAAAAATGAATTTTGTTTAAGTGCAAACCTGAAGTATGTACGACGATAAGGAAACGCGACGTCCAGGAAAATACTTCTATAGTGTAGCTCAAAAAAGTGTGAATGGATCGGGATGGATTTTTTTTAAATGGAACACCCTGAATGTGAAACCGTTAAAAAGTCTAAAATACTCTAAATACAAAAAATGTCTATTGAACAAATAATATACAGGGTGTTCCATTTAAAAAAAAAACGAAGAAAAATTATTTTACATTTTAGAAAGTTTGGCGTAAAATTTTGAACATCGATTACCATATTTATAGCAAAGTAAGTAAGACTATCTAAAGCATAGACTTAAAATAAAATATAGACTGAGCATCTCATTCATAAATAGCTGGAACATGTGGTCAGACACTGTCTTGTTATTGTTGTGTTATTGTTTTAGGTTATAACGAGTGCGACACGAGCGATAGATAGGTTGTCTCTGTCGTAACGGTCGTTCCCTGACGACTCTGCCGAGAAACACAACACTGTCTTTCGTTTCTCAAGTACACCTGAACTCTCCGTATCATAGCCGGGTAATTTTTTTTATTTTAATGAAGCTATAATTAAATTAAAAATATATCGTATTTAAACTTTTTTATATTTTATTAAGATTTAGGACAGGTTTTTTAAATAAAAGTTTAGAAAAAACAATTTAGAGTCCAAAAAGGATAAAAATAATAAAATACACGTTATAGAAGACATTTTATAATCGAAATTAGGTAATTTTTGAAATTAATAATAAATTATTAATTTTAGAGAAACATTTACAACCCCTAATATTAATCAAAACAAGATCTATTCCACAGATATAATAGAATCGGCGACAGGGAGAGAAAAAAAATATGATTGTTGTAATTTTTTTTCTGGTTAAGTGATGTCTTATTATGTAAATTAGAGAAAACATAAATCTGTTCCATTAAAGAAGGTGATAGGAAGTGGATAAAATAAAAACTACATTTATTTAACTCGGTACTGTCTTTATTATACCGGGTGCGTCTCAAAAGTGGCTCATCCCCATAATTTTTTTATATTTTCAAATAAAAAAACAAAATTTAGTATGTTAGTATATGAAATAAATTAGGATTGATTGACGCATTCAATTGTTTTTGGTCACTTCCTGTTTCACCGGAAATGACTATAACTTTTAATTTTTAAACGGCACCCTCGGTATATTTCTACTTTATTCGATAGAAAATGGCACTCTGAATAGAATAACATATCATATGTCAACTTTTGACATTTTCGCATATGGTTTAATTGTAATTGTAACACGCGGTTCATAACGACAATTTGACTCGAAATACCAAGTGTGTGGTATCAATATATTCATAAAAAAATACTTTTTCCAAATATGCTAATGAGTAACCCTTGTTCCATTTGAAAAAATTGACATATGTATGATTAAAAATACGATTTGTACATCTTTTAACCGGCCTAGACAAGACACGAAACCTATTAGACGATCAAAACTATTTTTCCAAGGCTCCTTGATTAAAACTTAGTGGATTGAAAAAAACTGGATTGAAATTTAAAATAGGATATGTTTTTAAGCGACAATGTCAAAAGTTGACATATGATATGTCATTCTATTCAGAGTGTCATTTTTTATCGAATAAAGTAGCAATATACCGAGGGTGCCTTTAAAAATCAAAAGATGTAATCATTTCGGTGAAACAGGACGAGACCAAAAACAACTGAATACGTCAATAAATCCTAATTTATGTCATATACCTACTAACATACAAATCTGTTTTTTTATCTGAAAAAATAAAAAAAGTTATAGGGGTGAGCTGGAGACGACCCGGTATATTAAAACTTTTGAGACACTTTTGAGACGACCCGATATATTAAAAAATATTGTTTCATAATGTAATATCATTTTAAAATTCTTGTATGTTATTTTAGATTCTGAAGATAATTTTAGAATAAACCGGAATATATTTTTAATAAAAACATTATTAATTATTAACAGGGTTATAATTATGATTTTGTTACAATGTAGGTAAGTAAATAATGTAATGTAAAAGAAAAAATTCAGATTTTACATTTTACTAAAATTTTATCTAAATAAACGCCTTTCTACAACAACGCCACTGACTCCCAATGGGTAAATTGAGAGTTGCCTACCGGTCAAAAGTCGTTTCAAGACTTAAATCGATTATTTAAGTCAAATTTCTTGCAAATTTGGCACTGGCGAACCATATTTTATAGTTTTTGAACAGAAAAAGTCAATAAAATAAACACTTAAGGACTACACGCTAAGAAAATGCGTTAATACAGCCGGGGACATAGCGGCAACAAAGCTTTACGGCACACGTGCGACACGTACTACAAGGTAATAAATGAATGAATAGGCTCCCTCGCCTCTAATCGGTGTTGTCATATTGTAAAGAACTTATCCTTATTAAACAGTATCCGACTTATAATTTAGTAGTATAAGGACTATTTAATACATCTATGGAATATTAAAACCTACTTTATTAAACTGTAGTATTAATATCTCAATATATGTGTATAACAAGAAAAAAAATATTGATAATATTAAAGACTTGACAACATAGGCTGGATGAGGAAGGCTCGGTCGACTGTACCCAGAAGTAAACATGTGTACAAAAAAGGTTATTTGTCCGCGTTGAGATGTAAATAGTGTAGTCTATATTTTATTTTAAGTCTATGATCTAAAGTAAAAACCTAATGGAGTTCTGATTTTAGGACAGTTCTTATACTTTTAATAATATTTTTAAGAAAGGCTGAAATATATATATTTTTATTTATATATTACCCAACAAGCAAAATTTATTGCTGGAACATTGCCAAAACTTCGCAAAGCAAGGTGTAACATTGCTTTTTTCATTGTAGGGAGGTTTATGCAAGGTTTCAGGGTAGCTTAATCTTCCGCCAAATAACATTGCAGTGGAAGGTTGCATTTCACAATATTATTGAAACGTTGCTAATGTAACGTTCAAGAAGGTACTAATTTGGGATGTATTAGCAATATTGTTAATTTTACGTCAATACAATATTGGTAAAATTATATTATTAATTATAATTAACTGACTTATTGCTAAAATAATATAGCAAAAAATAGATAAGGTTTGCATTAAAAAACCATTTCATTCATCAGAGGGAAAATATAAAAATTATTTTTTAATATTTACTTATCAATTAATGAAACAGTTTTTTCTTGCGAATATTAGCAATTTTATGTTAACAATAATACACCAGTAATAGGTTATAATCAACAGAAACATTAATGGGTTAAATTGTAGACTTTCAGATAGGTATAATATACTTTTACTAATATTGTATTGACGAAAAACATAAACAATATTGATAAAAAATATGTAGGTACATCTCTATATCCATTGACTTAGAAAAATTAAAAATGCTCGGTAAATATATCCCTACCAAGAAAGTCGAATTTGTCAAATTGAAAAAGAAAACAAATAAAAATTAGAAATTTATCACTTTTACTTGTTACAAAAATATCAAAAATACTGTCAAGTACTGAGAACTTACTGATCTTTTCGGCTGCTCATTAAATAAGGAATTATTCAACTCTGACCTCCGAGTCGAATTTCTAAAAAAAATCTTAAAGTTGAATGTCTGAAATAATACAAAATATATAGGTACAGTATAAACATTATTTTATATTTCTTATTCAAAAATACAAAAGGAAAGTATAACATTAAATGTATGTAGAAGGAAAAGCAAACTTATATTTTAATTGATTTTTTGGATCTTTCATATTTTGTCTTCGCATGTTGAATTGCCTTATTCGTGGTTTCAAATTCCTCTTCGGTAAAGTTTTGAAATCTGTATCCAATCATTTCTAAAGTAGTAAAAATAAAAACAATCAGTTGTAATAAATAAAGCAATGAGAAACTTACCTCTTGTGACAGTAATCTTTGAGGCCCCTTGATGTCCTTATTTTAAAAATTTCTAAAGATTATAACATCTTTAAAAAAATATTACTGAGAATAATTAATACTGAATATTATTTGTGATTTTATCATTAGATTGATATACTCGTATCCTGATTTTATCTACTTCAATTTTCAATTGGGTAAAAGCTAACCTAAAACATAAAATTTAGCTTAAAAACAAACTAAACTAAACAAAATTTGTTATACTTATTCATGGCTAAGTATTATTAAAACACACATATAATAAAATTATACTCACATTTAGATTCGTTAAAATCTCATTCAAAAAGCATAAAATGTGATACCAAAAACGCAAAAAAACAAGTACGTTAACTTCTTATACCGTATGATCGAAAAAAAAGACGTCAGCGATGGATATGAAAAGAAAATCGCTGTTATTTTATATGGGGAATGTCATCGATATTCATTTCCAAGCCAACTAGACGTTTTTTTCGATCATATGGTATATTTGTTATATTATTAATTAATATTCACTTGCGCGGATCTTTCATTTGAATCTTTGTTGCAATGTTGCAGAAAAAACGTTTTAATCACCATTCAAAACGTTTCTGTAGCAAGGTTTCATCAATCACGACACAACGTTTAGAAATCAACATTACAAAGCAAACTGTTTGGGGATTAACTGCAATGTTGCAAATGTAATGTGAGGTTTTTTGCTTGGTGGGTAATATCTCTGAAACTATCGAAATATATTTACTCATATCTTAAGATTATGTAAAGTGATCTAAAAAGAAGCCAAAATGCAATAATACACAGGGTAATTAAACAAAATTCCCAATTTTTTATTATATAGGAGCTACAGATGCCCGACGCACGATTGCCGCGAACCCAGTATAAAGAAATAATTTTCATTGGTAAGAAACTATCACTTACAGCTAAAAGCGACGAGCTTCCTTCATCACCAGAAAACTCCATCGATATATTCTTGAACAACATATTATCTTCGTTAACTTCCCTAAAATTATATTCTAATCTAGTAAATTGAGCAAAGAATTAACTTAAAAAAAGTTAATTTATTACCAGATATTACTTTGTTCATCTGTAAGTATCCTTAACAAGAATTTGCCATCTATATTAGGAATATTCGTTTGGGGAACTACAATGTAGTCACCTGGAGGCAGGGTAAAAAAAGTCACCACCTCTCGGGCTACAGAATGGTTAGTGACGTCAAGAGGTTTCTGAAAAAAAATACCATAAAAGTCATTGCCTGGAAACTTATATGGTGAAATTTTGATAAAATAATTTAATACATACTAAAAACACGGTATGTCGCTAGTGGTAGGAAAAATAACTTTTAGAGGTTACTAGTTTATTTGGTTGCCTGTGATATGCATATACAGGGTGTTTCCTAATTAATCTAAAAAATAAAATATCCTTAGAAAACGAATTAAGGCGGGTTCTTAATAAGTATATTTATTTTTTTCTCGACAACCGTTTGATGAACAAGAAAAAATCAAAAGATCAATTTTGTTGAAAAAGGATGGCCAGTCAAGAAAGAAATATATTTTCTTTAAAAAAGCAGTGGTGTACCATTTATGTTAAGCAAAAAAATCGATTTTTTTTTAATTTTTAACACCCTGTAGATCAGAAAGGAAGTACTTTAGACTCAATGGTTATGTAAAAATTGTTTTAAGAACACATGAGGAATCACACCATATTTTTTTAGACTAATTCGAAAACACCCTGTATATTGTCAACTTGACAATGACTTTCAGTGAAAAAAGCCTGATTTTCGCAGGAAAATTTTTGATTTTTATTGAATTTGGGCCGGCGTCTGCAAATACTGGTTTGTTTTTTAATTTTCTATCTATCTAAATTTTAAATATCATAGTCAGAAATAGTTTTATTATTTATTAACTGTAAAAATGGTGTTTTCTTTGTTGTGTTGCATCTGCAAAGAAACTAACGAAACTGCAAAATGCACGTGTTTCCAAAAGACGATAAGGTATGTATCTTAGATAAAAGAAAAATATATGGTATGTATTCGTTGTTTGATTTTTTTTTTCGTTCGCTTTAAAATCTATAAATCTCGGTCTATTCATTAGACAGCCAGTCGACTTACGATCATTTACATGAAACTCTGTAAAATAAAAAAAAATGTAAAATATATATATTCTTATGTTTTATTAAAGTTACTCTGATATACTAATATATCAATGTAACTTTAAAAATAAATCCTTTGAATTCAAATATAAAAATTAAAAACATTTACAGCAGAAAAGGCGAAGGCGCTGGGTTAAAGGTAGTCTCTACTAAAAACACGGAAGGGCGCTTTGACCCAAAATTCTACTATTAAGTTTCATATCTATCTTAATAGTAGATTATTTTCTTTTATCTATGCATATAAGTCCAGTTTTATAGGTATACTGCGATTCGTTGCTTCAACATGGAGTGAAGCAAAACAAACTACAATCTGAAGATGTAAAATTGGATGTTGTTCTTACTTGTTCAGCTACGAAATTAGGTGTTAACCTCTGCATGGAATGAGGTACTTCGAAGACGGCAAAACCTATAGCTACTGGGGCTTTCCTTTTTTTGGAGTCTGTGATATTCGTTTCGTAGTACTGTATCACCGAGACCACCACGTGACATTTGTTGGTGGACGTTCGAGGTATTTGTACGTGGAACTGTGGATTCATTGATGTTGTTTCTGGAAGAGAAAAATATATTTTATAGTACGTTGTTTCGCTAAACCAGCCAAAACAATCTATACGATCTTTAAATTTTAACATTTTCATTGGCTTATACAGTATTCACTTACCTACATAGCAGGGTCCTCCTCCGCCATTATAGCCAGCTCTCCATCTTCTCCTAGCAAGAACAGCTCTCCAGGGTTGTTTCGAATGTAGAGCGTTCTCCAACATCCAATCGTCTGGACCTATGTGGACTAGATCCAGCTGGGTAAAATGTCTGGCAAAATCGTCAAAGGACATCCTAGAAAAAAAATTAAATTGTACAGTCTGGCCTGGCCTGTGATGATAAATATTTACAGGCAGAGCAATATCTTAATATATCTTAATAAACTTCTTCTTATAAAGAAGATCAAAAAGACTGAAGAACACGATTTCAGTGAAACTATTCAATATATAATATGTATTCCTACTTTCAGTTGACATGAAAGCAGCTGTTAAAGAGACTGATACAACTATCGACAGCAGATGCAGAACATATAATATAGAATCTATATCTATAAAAAATTCTTACCAAAATTCTCCTTCATTAGCTACTCTGACACTCAACAAGTCTTTGTCTCTAGTGGATAACCCATCCCATTCCCAACTTCTTTGGCTCCAAGCTCCTGTCCACTCTCCTCTAGCCCATGGGTTTCTCAGTCTTACCAGTGGTGTTTCTCCACTTACAGCTCTGACTCTAGCCAATCCCGTCACAGAATACGAGTGCTGGGTTATCAGTCCGTTTCTCAGTCGCAATTGACGTTTGCTATCTTTTTCCTAAACAAAATATAACAATTAATATAACAGAAAATGAAATAAATAACTGACCATCCATCAACAGATAATTTTTGGTCATTACTAAGTAAGAGACCTTTGGAGACTCATCAATGTAATCTCAAAGATCTAATGTACCTCAAAGTTAAGAATTTCGGAAGAATTCACAATTCATCATAAAAACTATCTGTCAAAATTCATTCTATAAAATTACTGCTATCAATGTTAGTAAAGTCTGCCGAGTAAGAGGTCCAAACACATGACAGAAAAACACTATCTGGTTTTGAATTAAAATGATCGATTATAACTGTCCTATAGTAAAGGCTGGCAAAAGTTTGTCTTGGGTCGAGATTTCCGTATGTAAGAAGAGTACAATGCGTTTATAATGTACTGAACAAAGAGAGAACAGTAAAAATATTGCCAAACGTATGAAATAAACCGAGAAACAGTGCACATTGCTAAGAGACGTGGAAGGGGATATAGGAGATTCGTCGCGGTCGACCGGTCGATCCAATTAGTACAGAGACAAATCAGTACTTAAAATTCTAGGAAATTCACGATTTAATTACGTCTCGTAATACTTTATTTGTTTATTTATTAACGATTCGTAATTTCCTGTAGCTTGTAAATTTTTAAGTGCAAGTTAGTGCACTTTTGGTAAAAATAAGTGGAATTGAGTTGGTGTTCGACAGCGGTCGCGCTATTAGAGCTCTGAATTCAAAAATCGATATCTCGAAATCCAAGAGAAACAATTAATTGTAGTTTTTTAGGCTGTACTTAAACTGCCGTTAAACGGTAACTTACTAAAATGCCGTTAAAAGGTATGACGTCGTCGATGTGACGCACTTGACGGCTTTATGAAATATAGGAATTTTATAAGGACTAACCAACGCTATCCACCCCACCAAATAAACAACTTAACCAACGCAACTAACCTCGACACTGTTAAAAAATATAAAAAACAAATATAAATTAGTAAAAACCAACCAACACCACCAAATAACCAACTAACCAATGAATTAACACCCTCCAAATAACAACGCTAACCAAACCGCCAAATAACAAAACCAATCCAACCAAAAAGAGTGAAACCAATGCAATAAGATCACGCTATAAGCAAAAAAAAATAAATATAAAAAAGTCTTGGTCGGCGTGAGATTTGAACCACGGACCATTCGCTCACGAAGCGATAGCCTCAGCCACGGAGCCACAGGTGCTCTTGCAAAATGCTTATAGCTAGGTATTACTTTCCGCCGACGTCACAATATCTATTAACGGCATTTTAGTAGGCTACCGTTTAACGGCTGTTTAAGTACATCGTTTTTTTAAACTTTCTTAATATTTCTGCTATATTTTCTGCGCAGACAGTGATGTGAAAAGGTTTATAAATAAAAAAGTTACATGATTACTGAAAATTGCTATGCACTAAAAGTAAATGGATGTTTTTTTTTAATTTTTGTATTAAAAAAAGAAGCATATCGAATTTTTCTTATTTAAACATCTTGTAAAAGAACCGAACTTCAAAATAAAAAAATAGCTAAAGGGGTTCTTGAGTTATCGCGTGTTATGTGTTAAAAAGTTGAGATTTTAAAATACCGCGATTACTGACGTTTTCTCGTTATAAAAAAAATGGACACCCTAACAATATCCTTATAATTCCATTTCAAATGCTCAGAAACATATCTAATGATTTTATCTAGTTAACTTTTCGAAAAAAAGTATTTTAAAAATAAGCGGTTTGCGATCGTGATTTTACTTTACTTGATAGGGAAAGGCGTACCGAAGAAATATGGCAACGCCGCAACAGCACACCGTCGCATTTCTCTCACTCCGACTTAATAGATCCCTATGCGATTTACTTCCACACATGTGAATATCGACCCAAAAGTAAGAGTTGCCAGCACGGTATAATATCATAATATAAGGAAACTAGTAGTAGCTTTACTCCTTGTCAAATCCTTTGTTCTTTTTCTGCCACTTTATATGACCTTGCTCCCGCATCCCGTGACCACTGACGTAGCTGTATAGTCGTGGTCTATAACTAGGCAAAGTATAGTCACAGAACAGGTGGTATAGTCGTGGCACTCGCCATAGTTTCACAGAGATGTATTTAGGAAAATTGTTGAAAATTGGTTAGGTGATTTTCATTGCATAACTAATACATTGAACAACATATTGTACTAAATAATAAAATAACATATTTAAACTTCAATAATTATTGCTGATAAACATTACAGAAATTTCAAAAGAGAAAAGAAGCAAGAACAATGAGAAATACCATCACTACTTTGTCACGTAATAAAAGAATATTTTTTTAGTTATTGTTACCGAGTCCCGAAGTTACCGAAATAACCGGGAATTAATAATTTCAAGTCCGGGTTCTTCGATTTCTCAAAAGAACCGGGAACTTCCGGTTCTGAACCCTAGTTACCATATTATCAAGAAATTATGTTTTTAACTAAAAACTAAAAAAATTTCCAGATTTTTTTCAAAAAAAAAATTACTCAGAAAAATCCTCATATTTCTGGGGCCAAAATATACTTCCCCTAAAAATATTTGCACTTATTTAAGACTCACCCTGTATAGGGCGATTCACGGTTATGGTACGTTATAGCCTTTCCGGAACCGGAGCTGTTTTTCGGAACCGGTAATTTCGGTACCATGCCTCTACTTTCGGTACTAGCAAATTTTTGTTCAATATGATGGTGCAGTTCGTTAAACCGCAAGCAAGGGATGGTTGTCAAAAGTAAAATCGATAAAAAATTGAGGTTTACATGAAAATAATATCAAATTATTAAGTAGTAATCAGTCATGAGAAAATTAACCTGAACACAAACATGATCACAAATGACTCTGAAAAAAACTCAAAGCGCAATTGTTTGAATTATTACTTCAACCAATAGCAGCACATAGTAAGGCACTCATTTTTTGCCAATCCGTCTCTGTGCTGGGACGCAACGCTCGAACCTCGCAGGTCGACGGACGGAACTCAACTGAAACGCTCTGCAATCTGCCGATATTCGACAGACTGTAAAAACTGGCAGAAAATATTTGGGGGAGTGTAACTACTCTTTGCCTTCTACTATGATAATATGTTCGTTTGAGTATCGTCAACGAAAAGTCTGTCCTGTTATCGAGTTTTAACAAATGGCTTTTTCTTTCGACGAAGCTTCATTACAGCTCAGAGACCGACTTGTAAGACAGACTTTCATGCAAATGATTGGCGGGCTGGTTATGAAAAGGCTGTGGTTTTTCCTCACCTGAGTAATAGTGGCAATAAGAAGACTAGATCTAGGAACTGCGGAGTTGAGTACTTGAAACGTCAAAAAGCGGTCCTGATGCGTCAGCCCGAAACTTTGTACTATTCCACCTGTCAAGTCTTGTAACGCTCTGGTCGTGGATCCGGACAACAAATTTTCATAAGATCCATAAAATCTGTAAATAAACAATAAAAAAATGTATTTAAACTTAACAACAGATTTTAATTCAATTCTTGAATTGCCTTTTTCAGCAGAGGATTCACTGAGTCTTTATATGTTAGATTTAAAATTTTATAATAATTTATACTTATAAGATTCTGCACTTCTACAGTTCATACCAAATAAACTTTTAGTCACGTGATTAAGCTTGACCGGCACAGCGTTGTTCGATTGTTTGTCCCTTGACACGCAGGTGTGCATTTATTGGAGTCTTAGAAAAGACCAATAGTTTGGTCTTGGAGACATTGAGATGCAGTCCAAACATCTCACTATAGTGGACTACGGAATCTATAATGCTTTGCAGTTCTTGTATATCGTTGGCTATTATAACCGTATCATCGGCATATCTGATATTGTTTATTGGGATTCTATTGAACTTGATTCCGCCCTGGATTCGATCCAGTGCTTCTCTAAATATAGTCTCCGAGTACAGGTTAAAGAGGAGCGGAGACAAGACGCAACCCTGCCGAACACCCCGTCTGATTTGTATATCTTCCGATGTTGACTGCTTCGTCTCAACTACCGCCGTTTGATGCCAATAAAGTTCCGATATGAAACGTAGGTCTTGTTCGTCAACTCCGGTTGTTCGTTGTTCTTAGAATTTTGATCATCTTCTGATGATTAACACAGTCGAACGCCTTACGATAGTCTATGAAGCATGCAAATACATTCACATTCATGTCTCTACACCTCTGTGTCATTACATTTAAGGGAGAGAGAAGAGTGCTTCACGTTCCGAGTCCGTTTCTGAAGCCAAACTGGGTGTTGTCCATCTGATTTTCTGCACTTCTTGTAGATTCGAGTGTGGATGATTCTAAGAAAGGTTTTGAGGACATGGGACATAAGACTTTATCATCCGATAGTCATCACATTGTGAGGCGTTGGGTTTCTTTAGCAGGGTTTACGAATGTTGATTTAAGCCAATCTGACGGTATTTTGTTTGAGCTATATAATTTGTTAAATAATACTGTTACCAAATCTAGACTTCTACTTTCGTTATCTGCAATGAGTTTAAAGTATTTCAACGTTTATTTTATCGGGACCGGTAGCTTTTCCGCTTTTCTGCGCTTTTATTGCATGAACAACTTCGTCTTTGGTTATTGCTGGAGCCTTTTCATTCAGTATGTGATCTATCGGTGGTGGGGAACAGGGTCTGTCATCATTAAAAAGTGTTTCGATATATTCTTTCCATCTCACAAGCTTAGCCTTTACTCCTAGAATTATCTCGTTCAGGGACATAAAGGGCCATTATTAATGCTTTTCCGTTCAAAGTACTCTGTTAAAGTTGCTGATGATTTTTTATAACTATTAAGCTATCTTTTACCTACTTCGCACTAAAAGAGGTTCTAAAAAGAACAAACAATGTTCGATTGCAAGGTCTGCTAGTAAGCATTCTTAAGCTTAAAGTATCACAACACTATTTATTTAAACCAGTGATTCCCAAAGTGGTCCAGGTGGACCCCCAGGGGTCCACGGGAGACTTGCTGGGGGTCTACGTAGGCGTGAACAAAAAATGGGGGTCCATAAGATGTTAATGGGGGGTCCATTTGAAAATTCTATCTGCTTTTGATAGTAAAGAGCAAAAATGTAAGCATAGATTTTTATAAGGGCCCTACCTACATTGTTTTGGCACCTATCTAAGCAGATAATATTTTAATAAGGCAAGCGACTGTTACTTGTCCAAACTTGCGGTATTCAGTTGATATTACGTACAATTTCGTTGTACAGACTTGCAAAGCGCTATCCGCCCGACAATGCTTAATGCTTGTTCAGACATGAACTTGATCACCACATAAATACTTGATGCACAAAGGCAAACGCATTCATTTGTTTCCTGGAATTTCGAAAAAAAGGCGGAATTTGGAAAAAAGTTGTGAGAAAATTTATATCTGTGTTTGCTAGTGCCGGAGAAAAGTAAGTAACCTACCTTTTTTGTTATAGTACTTAGTATTTTGTTTTACGTGTACCTAGTCGGTTGATCACAACGGCCTGTATAGATAGGTAACTTAGTAACTTTACATAGATATTTTAATTGTCCTCTTTCGGATTTGAAGACAAACACAGCACGTTTTATTCAATTGTTTTTCACGAGAGAAACACTGCCTCTCTAAAAAGGCCGAATAAGCAATATTGCAGAGCAATTAATTTTGTAATTTTTCTTGCAAATAACTACTAATTTTATAAAACAGTAATTTCATAATCATTTTAAATTGGTTTTGGAAGTAACTATTTTATCAAAACTATTCCTTTTTCGAAAGAGCGAGCGGCGCGGGCGACGGGAAAGGGCGGGGCTTGGACTTCGATGCCAGTTTGTCACGTTTTAACAATGAAGCCGCAGACAAAAATACGCAAATACACGGAGCGCGTGAACTCATTGATTTAATAAAATGTTAGTTATCGTTTTTATGGACAATTTTGGGATTTCGACTTTTATATTTTTCCCTACACAAATATGATCAGTATTCGATACCGAGTACACCAATTTTTATTTATACTATTAAAAATTAGTGGTAAATTATGTACTTTAAAATTGATACCGTTTTGTAGAAAACGTCTGTATTTGTCTCAGCGGTTTATTAGTTGGTCCCTTTACAAGCCGTAATTCTATTTCCGCGTGCTGACAAAGGCTGCGGTGTGATACCTATATTCAGAAAAACTTGGTTACTAAAACATTTTTTTTACAGGTAAGGTAACTGACACGAAACATGGCTACAGCAAAGAAAAAATGTCGACAATATAGTATCGATTATTTGAAATATGGTTTTGTTCCATCAGAGGCAGACAAACAATTGCCCATGTGCCTATTATGCAACAAAGTTTTGAGCAATGACTCTATGAAACCATCAAAGCTCGAAGATCATCTAAAAAGGTGTCATACTGATAAAATAGGTAAAGATTTAAAATATTTTCAAACATTGAAAGAAAAATATGGAAAGAGACCCACCATGCACAGTATGTTCGCTTCAACATCTCAAAGTAACGATGATGGCTTGCGGGCATCTTACAATATCTCATTACTTATAGCAAAATCTGGAAAACCGCACACTATCGGAGAACAATTAATTTTACCCGCTGTTGAAGAGGTTTTAAAAACTGTTTTGCACAAATCTCCATTTGACGTACTAAAAAGAATTCCATTAAGTAACAATACTGTACAAAGACGCATTGATGAAATGAGCTCTGATATCGAAAGCTTTTTGTGCAATCATCTGCAAAAAACTCATTTTTCTATACAACTGGACGAGTCAACGTTACCCAGTAATGAAGCATTACTATTGGCATATGTCCGATTTATTGTTGAGGAAGAAATTCACGAAGAATTGCTATTTGCCAGAACTTTGGAGACTGACACTAAAGGCGAATCAATATTTAATGTCCTGAGTAATTTTTTTACGGAAAAATCGATCCCATTTACAAACATTATTTCAGTGGCAACAGACGGAGCTCCTGCAATGGTCGGGCGATATCGTGGGTTTATAAGTCATCTCAAAAGAATTATACCAGGACTTACAGCTATTCATTGCGTAATCCACCGACAACATCTTGTGGCAAAACATTTAAGTGACAGGTTGAACCAATCTCTTCATTTTGTAATAAAAGCTGTCAACAAAATCAGAAGCAATGCATTGAATACGCGTTTATTTGCTCAATTGTGCGACGAAAATGATGAAGACTTCCAACGACTGCTCTTACATACTGAAGTACGCTGGTTGTCGAAAGGTGCATGCTTAACGAGATTTTACTCTGTTTTCGATTCCATATTAGAGTTCTTAGAAAGTAGAGATCCAGATTTAAAAGAAAACTTGATCAAATTCAAAGCAGACATTGCGTATTTGACAGATTTGTTTAAAAAATTTAATGATATTAACTTGCAGTTACAAGGGGACAGCCTGAATTTAATAAAAACAAAGGGGATAATTTCGGCTTTTCTTGGGAAATTGAAATTTATGAAGCAAAACATTAGTCGGCGCGAATTCTCTCAATTTCCAAACTTGTCGCAGGTAGAATGTATTGATGAGGATATCCATACCTACAGTCAACATTTAAGTGCTCTGCATGATGACTTCAAAACCAGGTTTGAAGATATACTGACGATGGATATACCACCATGGATCATAAATCCATTTGATGAAACGGAAGTGGCCAATGTTGTATTACAAGAGGAGCTGCTCGAGCTAAGCACTAATGAGGAGCTGAAGGTGAAATTTAGAAAAGGCTACCCAACATTTTGGCTGCAAGCAGAAATACCCGAAAAATATCCTGGACTGTGGGAAATCGCAAGGAAATTTTTAATAGCTTTTCCCTCGTCATACCTTGTCGAAAGGAGTTTTAGTGCCGTTACAAACCTCTTAACAAAAAAAAGAGCAAATTAAACATCACAGAGCTGGGGGATTTGCGGTTATTGCTCTCACAAAAATAAAGCCAAACATTGATCATCGTTTGCTGACACTCCCATCAGATACATCCTTCCCATTAATTAAAATTATGACCTGAACCTTATATTACCTTAATATTTTTCTTGTAATTCTATTCTTTTAATAAATAAAGTGGATATAAAATGTACCATTTTTCGTTTTTATTTTACATATCGGAATATAGGGACAGAACTCAGAAGTGACACAATTTTTATTTTTTGGCGACTTTAAGAATGTGGTAGAAATGTAGCAGCAGGGGGTCCACCGAAACCAGTAAAATTTTGAAAGTGGTCCACGAGAAAAATAAGTTTGGGAACTACTGATTTAAACCAAAGACTCGTAAAACAAAACTGAAGTGCCAAAACGAATGTCAGGAAATAAATAAATAAATAAATGCGGCAACTTGACATTTTTTACAGCAGAGCTACCACCTGAATCCCCAGCGCGAAATTTAAATTCCAGTTAGTCAGCACGGCGCCGAATATGTCCATGGTTGGCAACAATGAATTTAAAAATCGCGCCCTCGATTACGTAACTAAAAGTTTAATTGGTATGAAATATAGACAAAAAACTACTCAGCTTGTTTTCCAAAAACGAACCCACCGTACGTTATTATTTATGACCACTCTTTGGAACTTTTTTTTAATACATTTAAATGTAAGTATTAAGGGGCGTCCAGACCAGATGAGCGAGCAGTAACGAGCGCGAGCAAACATTTATTCAAATTCACTCGTGATTTCTGCTGCTCTCGAGCACATGATCGGCTTCCGTCCAGACCTTTGAATAAGAAGACTAAGGAAGGAGCATATCAAAAATCTTAGGTACACCGCGATGGGCCTCAAATATGGCCGATTTAAATTCCGGTTTATCAGTGCCGTTCTAATTTTATTTAAAAAATGTAAAACTATGATGTAGGGTAGACGTGGGGTAGACTCAATAATTTGTTGTTTTATTTTACGTTGTGAATAAATGTTGGTAGTTATTAAAATTGTTATAAAAATATATAATTCTAATAAAAATAGATAAGTTATAATAAGTATTTATTACCACAAACATCCGATACGCTACTGAAGCAGGTAAGTCAAATTAACGTATCTAAATTCTTTGACATCTAATCTTTGACAAGTAATAAATAAAAGCTAAAATGCAAGAAAAATATATAATTTAGTTAATTTAAGTGAATTTCATAAATGATCGGTTTACTACACGTATGTATATTATATAGTCACTTACTAGCGAAAAGTTGTTCCATTATTTCACTCAATTTTTGCCGAGATACTACTACCGCACGCTACACAACCAACTATTTTAGAGTCTTTTTCGATAAATAGCGATAGTGTCACTGTTAATTTAAGTGCTGCCACAATTTCCATCTAGATTTACTACCTTTATACAACTATCAGTAGTAGAATAAATAATAAATAACATAAAATAAGCTCAGTAAAGACTGACAAATCCACAAAATTTCAAATCATATTCAAATGTGTCAAATGAATCGTCAAACAGAACTGTCAAGGATCCCCACCCTAGAGTGCTTTTATGGCGCTTTTTCCGCCCACCATGCATGAATACATGAATAGCATTATGCTCCTTCCTTAGTCTTCTTATTCAAAGGTCCAGACCTAGCGATTATTTGTATGTTCGTTGTTGATCGGTGTGTGACACTTCATGTTCATAATGTCGGAAAAATTATTGCTTGTGCGTCTTTCATTGTATTTTATAAATTGTTGAAACGTCAAAAGAGAAAACGACTGCAGAGGAGATGGTGGAACATAACTCTTTTTATAAATTGAATTTCTCATGGTGGTAACAATTTACTAAAAGATGTTGAAACAGAAGATTCGGGAAAATTTAAGAACACTTACAGATTTTAATACCTTATTAGATTTAATTGACATGAAACTAATGAAAAGTGACACCAATTACCGAAAAGCAATTTCACCTAGAGAAAGGCTAGCTATAACCTTACGGGTTTTGGCGATTTTTGTACTCCTCTATTAGTTCTAAAACAACTTCATTCGGCCATTCCATTTTTGATATTCGATCGCGAGCAAAGTGTTAAACAAAATCCCGTCCAAACCGAACGTGCGTGAATTTTCTTTGATGTACCGACACGGCGTGGGACAGCGTCGAGCGCGAGCAAGTAATCATTCGCTCGCTCGCAGAGCCGTCCACACCAGTTAAGCGTTCCCATAGAACATACCCGAATTCTTGCTCGCTCCTGCTCGCTCATCCGGTCTGGTCGCCCCTTTAGAGATAAAAAAAAAGAAATTAATTTACTTGGCATAAGCTTTTTCCAATAGGGCTGCCCAAAACTGAGTGGAGTTTGAACAATGCAAATACACTAAGCGTCCTTTGTGAGTTGGGAGTTTGTCGTCTACTACTATTTCTCTCCATTCTCCAAAATGCCAAAAACGAAACCTGAAGAAAAAGTAAAAAAAAAATGTTAACATAAGAACATATACACTCACATGCACGAAAAACAGGTCCCTTAAAATTTTCATGTATTTTAAAGTTTAATATACCGTATGATCGAGAAAAAACGGCGTCAGCGATGGCTATGGAATGAAGATCGCTGTCATTTTATATGTAAATTTATATGGGAAATGTCATTGAGGCTCATTTCCCAGCCAACTGGACGCCGTTTTTTTTTCGATCATACGGTATTTTGTTCTAGTGGTCCGATTTTGATGATTTTTCCACCACGATTTTGATGAAAAATACCACTACACGCAAATATATTCCTAATGAATCATATCATAGTGTTGAACATAAAATGGCTAGTTCAAATTTCTTAGTTCAGAGATTACTTAATTTTCCACTTACCAACGAAAGATAATATGAAATAGAAAGAGATTACATTAGGAGTGTAGTGGATATTCTCCTTCACTAGTTGATAAAATAATTAGAAAACGTAGGTATAAGTTAATGATTTCTGAAAATTCTACTTTTCAAGTGGATGAAGATACGTCGAAATATTTTTCAATACCGTTGGATAGAGAGTTATCCCGTGGTCTAAAAGGAATTTTTAAGAATGTCAATTATAAACTTGTGTATAATGCTAATAATAAATTACAACAATTATTAGGTAATCCAAAGGATAAAACACCTCCACTGGAATGGTCGGGTATTTATGAAATTTCTTGTAAAGATTGTAATCGGAAATATGTTGAGCAAACTAGAAGATCAATATTAACTGCATTTAAAGAACATTTAGCTCAGATAAGATATGGTAGACCGGATAAATCTTGCGTTGCCAAACATATTGTTGATAAAGAACATTGTATAGATCTTCATAATTTAAAATTAATTAAACAAGTCTCAAATTACAGGCAATTAGATGCATATGAAAGCATCAGAATTAATAAATGTAAAGATAGTATGAACAGAGACAACGGTCCAATTTCTTCAAGTTCTTTGTTCCTACTACTCTAGTGGCGGAAATCTAACTGTTACGCTCGGTGGGCTCTGACTCGGTTGGCTAGATCTTGCCACGCCCACGTTTTAAGTCCAAAAGTTAATCTCTAGCATGACCAATTAAAGCAACAATAGCCGATACTTGAGAAATTAAAACCATCTCTACTAGAGTAAACGTTGATAAACAATAATAATATGACTTAAATGACAGTGACATTACAAAAACAATAAACACTATTTCATAAGTGTGGCTATGAGGATCCAAAATCATTGCTAAAATTGCTGTAAATTGTTACTGTCTTATGCAAAAACGAATATCTCCAATAAAAATAAAGCGATAGAGATGAACCAAAAACAAACTATCGAGAAAAGACGTACCTAGATGATAAAATTATTTTTAAATTCCTTGCTTTGTTAGCATATTCTACAGGGTGTTTCAAACTTTTACCAAAATATCAACACTTTGTTTTCCCTCGTATAATTGACAGATGGAAACTTTCATTTTTAATACGTATATAGGCGGAAGAAGGAATACGGAAGTATGGAGATTTATAAAAACAACAACAACTGAAAAACATGAGTCAGCCCCTATAGAAATAATAACCAACAAAGAATGGGTGAAATATTATTCCAAATTGTTGTCAGAGAACAGACCTGAGTATCAAGAACCGCCACAGCCAGAAATAAACATTGAAGGAGAGGAAATGGATACCAACAAAATAAAGACTGCTATAATGTCTTTAAAGAATGGAAGAGCATGTGGCCCAGAGGGAGTATATGCCGAACTCATAAAATCTGGAAGCAAAAAACTGTTTAGAATGTTAACAAACATAGTTAACCAGTGCTTAAATGGTCATCCAGTACCTGAACAGTGGAAAAAAGCATATATCTCCTATATATAAAAAGGGCTCATGAGGAAGGATCCCAATAACTACAGGGGAATTTCGGTCGTAAGCACTATGAGTCGCCTCTATGAAAGGATACTGAGGAACTTAATTGAAAAGGAATACTCCAGCTACGAAGAAGAAGAGCAGAATGGTTTCAGAAGCGGAAGATCATGTACAGATAATATCTTTGCATTGAAACAGATCATCGAGAAGAAATCTGCAATGAACCAGGAAGTTCATATAACATTCATCGATCTACAAAAAGCATATGATACAGTGCCAATAATAAAACTATGGGAAGTATTGCACGAATCAAGAATTAACGCAGCTCTGATAAAAGCTGTACAAAATCTTTACCATGGAGGAAAATCACAAATAAAAACGGTCAACGGTCTCTCAGAGGAAATTTCTATCACTAAAGGGCTCCGACAGGGTTGCTGTATATCCCCAACATTATTTAAAATTTATATTGCCAAGGCCTTACATCTATGGAAAAGAAAATGTAACGGAATGGGTATAGAACTAAATGACATATGCCTATACACCTTGCAATTTGCAGACGACCAGGCCATAATTGCAAACGACAAAGATGACATGGAATATATGGTGCGGAAAATAATTGAAGAATATGCTAAATAGGGTCTCACAGTAAATACAGAAAAAACAAAATACCTTCCAATTGGAGCTAATACAGAAAATATTATTTTAGACAATAATATGGAAATTAGGGCATGTGAAGATTACAGGTACCTGGGATCGATATTTACAGGAGATGGAACGGACGATAGAGGGATAAACAACAGAGTAATACAGGCACGAAGAGTTATCAGATGCATAAATGGCATTCTATGGAGCACTGACATTACAAAAAACAGGAAATATAATATATACGAGACACTGGTTAAAAGCATATTACTCTATGGATGTGAAACATGGCGACTGACTGAAAGGAATAAACGGAAATTAGAGACAACAGAAATGGACGCGATTAGAAGAGCAATGAGAATTTCATGGAGGGATAAGATCAGAAATGAAGACATTAGACAACAGATGGGAACAGAAGGAACAATAGTAAATGATATAGAACAAAAACAATTAATATGGTACGGCCACGTTCAGAGAATGCACAATGAAAGAATTCCAAAACAAGTCATTCATTGGATACCACCTAGTAAACGAAAGAGAGGACGTCCCAAGAAAACATGGATGGAAGGAATAAGAAGGTCGATGAGCGAGAAAAATCTGACCGAAGATCAATGGGAAAATCGCACAGGGTGGAAGTTAGGCATCGGACAACGTCGTAGGACGTTCTGACCCGAATTTATATATATAAATCAATATGAGTCAAATGTGCACGATCCATGTGCGGCAAATGCAGATCCTATATTAGTATGAACTGTATTTGAAAAAGTAATGTACATTCCAGGTTTGCAATTTTGTTGAAGATAATTTATGTTTACTACTTTAGTTTCACATTTCATTTGTTTGTACTTTTAATAATACAGTAAAATTATAAAATATATATGTTTTTAATTGCTATGGGTTTCTTAGCCTCTAAGTTATATTTCTGTTGTCAAAAATTCCTAAAAAAATGCGTTTTACTTTATTTTTGTGTCCGTTCTTGTTAATATGTTGAAAATTAAAGAAATTGTTTGTTCACAAGTTTGAATATATTGTAAACAGTGTTAAAATAACAAGCTTTTTTTAAAATCTCTTCATCATGTATTTTAAACTGAAAAAATATATAGATAGACTCAGGGTATAAACTTACAAAAGTCATTTTCTTTCTCACATATGTGACTGTAATAAATCCAAAATAACGAAGAAAATACCAGAATCTCACCTGTATGGAACAGTATCATAACAAGAATCCTAGAAACAATAAGATTTGCGATACAGCGCCTCTACGAGGCGGCTTATCTACTACTGGATGGAAACAATGGCGAATTTTATCTTTTCTTTCATTAAAAAAACGTTAAAAAATCAACTTTCTTGACAAATTACCTCCTTTAGTTTGATAACAACCGATGTTCAGGCTTTACAACAAAAATAAAGTAGCGGTAATGAATGAACCTAATTAAAACATTATGTAATTACCTCATTAATAATAGCATGCATATTATTTTAATGCCTATTTATAGGTTTGAGATGATAATGATATTCTGACAACGTTTACGTATTGTTTACAAATAGAATGATGTCAAGAGCAAGGCAGGATATCCGTTAAAATTAATTTAAATGAAAACCGCAATAGAATATACAGTGTGTATACCGTGTACCAGACAAATCAAGTATTTTCTCTACAGAGTGGTCCGAATTGTATTCAGGAAACTTCGGCAGCATATTCTACAGAAAAAATAAGTAAAAAAGTTCGTATAAATTTATTTCCTAAAATTCTTAGTTTCGGAGATACAGGGTGTAGAAATTTAATGTTTATTTCGATTTTTTCACTTATAATATCACAAGAGCTTAAATTATTTTCGGAAATTTTTTTGAGGGCACGAATATTTTGAAAATTATCCCGAGTCGAAGACGAGGGATAATTTTCCTAAAATATTCGTGCCCGAAAGAAAATTTCCAGGAATAATTTAAGCTTGCGTGGTATTCGGTAAGAAAATTTCACACCTCTACTTTTCAACCAATAACATGCTTTAATGTTGACTAGTTACCATGGCAACTGAAAACATTTCCGGAAATTTTTTCGAATACCACGCAAGCTTAAATTATTCCTGGAAATTTTCTTTCGGGCACGAATATTTTAGGAAAATTATCCCTCGTCTTCGACTCGGGATAATTTTCAAAATATTCGTGCCCTCAAAAAAATTTCCGAAAATAATTTAAGCTCTTGTGATATTATAAGTGAAAATTTCACACCTAAATTTGAAAAAAAAAATATTAATCCAACATGACATTTTAAAATAATTTCAATTTGTTAATAATATTAACAAATATTATTATATTTTTAATTAGTTACATCAAATGCTAAAACTCAAATGGGTAATATTTCAATATATAGACATTGTAGTTCATTCACATTATGATTGTAGATCTTATGTTTACCTTTTCAACTGTCAAAAAATTTCCACTAAAGTTTCGTGGCGCCTCGAAAAAATTTCC